TTTTGATCAAATGATACGGCCATCATTTTCTGAACACTAATAGACACCGATTTGCTTTTTTTTCTTCTCGTTTATTCTCTTTATAAACAATAAATGTCTTTGATTAAAGTTTTCGAAATTCAATTCATTTGTAGAAATGAAATTGTATTTAATTTTCACGGATATCGACAATTGGCCATCCACCTCATATGATCCACTCTGTAATTATACACATACAAAGCTACTTGAATGCGATACACCACATTCGTTCCGATCATCCGTTGCTTCACTGCAATTTGCTGACCGCATCGAATGCGATTGTCAGATTCTTGATGGTGAAACACATTTTGTGATGAGAATTATTATTAGATATCGCAAATGAAAACCATCACCAATGAATGGCATCATGAGTATAACATTTAATTTTTGGTTGTTTCACAGCGAAAGGGATTCTGCCTGTATCATAAAACGTAGAGAGAAAAAAAGACGGTCCAACATAAGGAAATAGGAAAGACGAGTTAAAACATTGTGACTAATTCTTTTATGTTTTGCATATCTCCGGCTGCTGCTGTTGCTACAACCGTCTTCATATCTCTTCAAAACAGCATTAGATTGCGTTCGATCGTTTATAACAATCGAGCGAGTGCTACAATTCCGGCTTTGCTCAATGCACTGATCGCTTGCAATGAGAAACAGTTGAAACACATCAGTTCCATGCCGTCTGCAGAAAGGGAATGAAGCAGTTTACGCAAGTTTACAAACTTCAATTATGTATGAGCCATTTTTTTCCCGTTGGGCTGCTGTTGTTGTTGTTGCTGTTGCGTTTTTCAACTTTCGATAGGGTAATAATTGAGTGAGATCATCTGCAGAATCGAACGGTTTGTCGGCGATAACCGATATAATGGGTTGAAATGGCGCTTCACTTTGATCCACTGTCATGGAAAGGAAATGAAGTGATTAAAACACGAATGAACGATTGAAAACAAAACCAAAACACACAAAAAAATATGTACACACTTAGAAGCCGAATAATAGCTTAGGGCTGTTGCATCCATGTTATTTTAAACACATACACACACCGTATGCTTGTAATGCGCTTATCGGCAGCAAATCATTCGATTTAATGTTATGGTTTCCGTTGTGCGATTTCGCATTTTACATTCCAAATTCACTAAATTGACGAATAAAAAACCGACAATTTTCCCCCCAAACATCCCTCCATACCAGCCACATCTCTTGTTTCTTTTTCTCCGCTTGCATTCGATATCTTTCTTAGCATATTCATCGTAGCGAACGCGTGCTCGCGCGCACTCGGAATGTATCAATGCGAACCCATTGTGGCATCAAGCGAACACCAAAACAAAAGCGATACATTGTTGTTCGGAAAATTCAATTTATTGATATGGTACGGAGCTTCGTATGAATGAGACTTGCTTCGAATTCAACGAACAATCGAACGAACGAAAGAAGAAAACAAAAATAGTGCAGGAAAGAAACAATGCAAATCACATGTAAGCGACTGTTTTTTCCCTCTCAATTTCAAACTACTGCAATGTTAATAAAATAATACGCCAATTGAAGGAAAACTCAGAGATAAATTGACAGAAGTGAATTTATTAGTACCATCATTAGTTCCGATAGTGGTCACAATTTCTCCAGTGGCGGCCAGCCCATGGGAGTTTTTGTGATAACACAAAGCCATCGTCACTTTTTACCCAATGCAAAAAGGAAGTTTCACTTAAAAATGAACCCGACAACGTCGAAAAATGAAGCTCGGCAAAGAAAAAAAGAACACAATCGTTATTGCTGACGAATGCAAAATTTGAAACGGAAATGAGAGAGAGAGAGAGAGAAAAAAAATCCAATTCGATTAATTAAAAAGAGGATACATAAACAATGGCAAAACGATAATCGACTGCCGATTTCGATATGGCAAACAGACAGAAAAACATGTTCTGACAATGGAAATCACCACAATGCTTGCCGTTTTGCGATTGATAAGGAAATCGGTGATTAAATGCACATTCAAATTCAATTGACAAACAATGCGCTTATGTGATCGTGCGGTGTGCACTTTCAGCGGCGTGTTTTCATAATTAAGTTGGGATTGAGTTTAAATTTAGTTAACTGCTTCTGCTGCTGCTGCTGCTCACTTTTAAGCTTAGCCGAAGCCAAGGCATTCAGTTAACCGTCTCGTGCCTTTATTATTTTACCAATTTTTTTCTTCTTTCTTTCTTCTCCCTGTATTTCATAATCGAAATCTCTGTGTGTTATATCTATTTTGCGTTCATCATGTTTAATGTATGGTACGCTCACTATGCACGGCTGTGATGCGTATATGAGTGGATTGCGAGTGAGTAAACACACACACACATACCTCTTGAACTCATTGTTGTGTGTTGATTTCGGCTTCGATGCGCAAAATTGTGGTAGAACCAGTCAGTAACCGAAATGCGGCTAATAGAAAGAAAAACCCATTAAAAAATTTGCACATTTGTAACAAACACACATTTTTACGCTGCTAAAAAGAAGAAAAGTAAAAGTTTTATAGTTTTGTATATCGTGAGGCGCGGACGCGCGCACTGCAAAGTTATGCTTTAGTCTTTATTGGTTTAGTGTTTTAATTTTGTTTTTCTCTTTCCAGTGGCGTAGCATGGTTGTTTAGCCACTGTGTTTTACTCTCACTTTGTTTTGCAGTAGTAAGTTTTGGCTTCTAATCGATGGTTCGTTCGTTCATTCATTCATTATGGGTCAGTGGCCACCCATTGATAGCAACAGCATCAACAGCGGCGGCCGCACAATGAGTTTTCAATTTTTCAATGCATACTCGAGTTCTTCAACTTTGTAATCTTCTTCATTTGCGGTATGTGTGTGTGTGGGTATGTTTTTTACGTTTCTGCATCTCGTTGAGAAAAATTCCAAAGAATTGATTGGTTCAGTTGCATTTTTAACGATGCAGTCGAATCATTTGCCGTTTTTCATGCCAAACTCTATTCAGACTATCTATGTGTTTATGTGTGGTTATTTTTTCTCGATTCGCGTTCATGAAACTAGCTCGCGATGGTCTTTGATTATGTAAGAGCTCTCAGCCAATTCCAAATGATTTTGTTTTTGCTTCACTCTGGCTATGAGGCCAATCTATTTCTTCTCTTCGTTTTTTTTTTTGGGTGAAAAAACGCTTTTTTTACCACAAATTCACTGCCTTCCGTTTGGTTCTGCACTATGAAAATGTGTTGTGCTGTTCCATAAGTTCAACGCAGCTATAATTAACCGACAAAACCGAAAACTTTTCAAGATCATAGGTAATTTAAATGTTCAAGCCACACTTTTTTTCTCTTCTATCTCCAAATACACATTATAATCATTATAGTTGTACATAGAGGAGTATAGAATGGATTCATGATGGAGATTCATAGTTCGTACGACTATAATTAAAGTCAGTTATGATCTAAAAGCTTGGACGCGACATAGAAAACGAACGGTATTTTCGTGTCGTTATTATTATTGTGTTGTAGCAATAATATTGTTGCTGGCGTTGCCATTGCCGATACACATATATATGTATACCACGATTTCCGCTGTTGTTCACACAGACCGTAGACACATAGGAAAAAGTTTTTCTTACCGTACATATTTCGCCTCATCATTATGAGCGTCGTCGGTTCTTGCACCTATATGGCCTAAGACAGACTAACAAAATCCATCTGAGCAAAACATATACACACATACACCTATCTTTCTCTCGTGTCATATTTTAGCGAATAAGAAAAAGAAATAAATCTCCATTGAATCGAAATGTTATTATATCGTTTGGGTTAGATTGAATTTTCATGGGCCAAAACAACAAAAAAAACAAGAACAACGGAGACATAGAGAGCAAGTTCAGATGTTTGTTAGAAAAATGTTTAATCCAACATTAATGAGAAAGAGAACACAACTTACATGGTCACAAATGCGCACGACACACAACAAATCGAATATAATGACTAAGTTTTCAGTGACCAGAAACAATTGGATTGCGTAAAAATTCACGCTCTTTTATTTATTTCTTGTATATTATATATGTATATCGCGTCGATGTGTCTTTTTCGGCGCATGGCGCGGCCCTTTTTTTGCCGTTTATTTTCGACTTGCCGTTTTTAATTGCTGCACGGATCGAGCGGAGAGAAATAGCGCAAAGGTGTTCGAATGAAGCAACACATAACTTCATTTGTTTGATATTGGTCAAGCGTAGCTTATTGAATTTTTCCGTCTTTCTAACACACGAAAAGTCGAGAGAGGGAGAGAGAGAGAGAGAGAGAGAGAGAAAACAGCAATCTTAGCAGCAGCAGCATTAACAGCGACAGTGGAGAATCATGTTCAAATTAATAGAGGCCGTTTTGCTACTTGACGAATTAACAAAGCGCTCATTTATTTGATATTGGCTCACGTACATGATATTGCGTATGTAAATTCATTCATTGAATTTAAGTTTTTTCTCTCTTCTGTTTGTTACCTATTCTGTGATTATAACCGTCGATGCCGTGGAGTTTGTGTAATTTTTTTCATTTCATCATAGCAATAATTTGGTCTCTTTTTTTTCGTCGACCAAAAAAGGAGACCGTTTCAACACGCATGCATTTTCAAATTGGTCCAATACATAATAATGACTATGATAAGGAAATAGATTTGCGATAAAGAAATACGACCGAACAAAATAATCCAAAAGAAAATAGACCAAAAGCATTTTATCTCATTTGAAATGCATATCGCGGCCTCAAATTGTAGCTGCGGTATCTGCGAAAAATGCATTGATTTTATTTTTTTTCAACTGAGATAAAATACAATATTTTTTTTCAATGTTGAACCGAAAATCCGATTTTTATCGACAATTATTTATTCCAATTTTTTTTCTACATTCTCAATTCAACGCAGTCAATTAAACAATTATGCTTATAATAATTTTCAGCATTCGGTTGAGTGCCAATGAACACTTCAATAATAATGAGCATGATTATGATGATGATGATACACTCACTTACCTTTTTTGTGTGTTCAATTTTATTGGCAAATTAATCCATTTAATCCGGTTTATTTTTGGGGTGTATTATTTGTTCAATAAATAAATACCGATTTTCCCGGAATATATTCAATTGAATCTGGTTCTTGTTAAATATTCAAACAATGTTCCGCACTGCAGATAGTCTCTTTACGATGTGAAATTGATGACAAAAATTTGCACAACGTTTTTGTTGTTGTTATTGCTGTCGTTCAAACACTATTTTCCTTACGCGAAAATGCCGAACGAATAAATTCGGATAAGCGTTTAAGCAATCAGATGGATTTGAATTATTTGAATGACTGTTTGAGTGTTTTATTTGCTTTTCGTAGTATTGATTACACCGCGATGCACAAAATGTCATAGAACAACCATAAAATGCATTTTGGAATTGCATGAATGGATGTAAAATGCACCGATCTAAGCAGACCTCGTTAGTAATATTCTGCTTTCTTTGCTTCTCTTCGATTATTTGGCTCTTTTTTGATTTGTTATCATCACACTGAGCACAGACGGAAAATTGTTGTCGAGAAGAAAAACAAATAATGATATTGTTCGAACTTGAAGTAAAAAAAAATAAGCGATAACTTATTTAACTCAAGTTTGAGCTCACGCTACGAATTTGCTTGTCGGCAAATCGTTAAAAACACACAATGCACATTTTATGGAAACAAAAAGATTCAAGAACGAATCCATTTGGGCAATTAAATGCTGTAGTCAACACTAGTTCTTGTTATTGTTGTTGTTGTTGTTGTTGTTGCCGCTGCTGCACGCACTCGATTAAGTGCAGACGATGGATTCGATTTTAAGAATCTTCCACAAAAATCATCAACCAAATTACACCATAAACATATTATATGAACTGAGAAGACTGAGAGAACATACACAGAGCGCACGTTGGGGCGCGCTCGCTGAGAGACAACAGAGAAAAAGCTGGTGCACAACCTCACCGAACGACGAACTAAACAAAACTGAAAATGAAACCGAGAGTTCATCATACAGAAATCTTATTCTGTGTTGTTGTTGCTGTGGCTGCTGCTGCTACCACCTTCGTTTCGTTGTAGTATGCCGCATCATAGACAGAGCGAACGGAACCGTGCACCTCTTTTATACAGACACTTCGCTGCCTCGGCTGCTTTGCTTTGCTACGAGCGCGTAATACACGCGTAGTGAGCTGAGTGTATGATTTTGGTGTGTTTGGCAGCCGCTTTGTTGCCGCTTCAGTATGTGTATGTGCATTTGTGTTTTTTTCCCTTTTTTTTCTTTCTGCGTATCGTCGATTCCATTCTCGTGCGAAATATATGCATTACAATGGGTCCGATTTTGAGTTGCCGATTTATGCGACCAACACTTCTGGATGCTGCACATCTATCACACAATGTATTTAAATGAATGCGGCATTTTTGCCGACACGTTGTCATTGCCAATGTCTGTACACATAGCCGACGTGAAAAATCATATGTGATCGGTGCAACAACAGTCTCTCATGAGAAGCAGCTTCGGTTTTTGCAGAGATAGAGAGAGAGAGAGAGAGAGAGAGAGAGAGAGAAAAAAATCAATGTGACCGCCTTTTCGGGGAATTTCAATCTAATTGAAGTGCATTTCATTTCAAAATTTTCGTTTTGGCAAAGCCGATTAATCGTAATGCAATCGAATTTAAATGCGATTTTTTTCCTTTGAAGTTTCCACTTCATTTTCCATCTTTTTGGACGGGGAAATGTGCACAGACGGTCAGAACATATAGAGTTCATACTCAAGTCAAAGACATTTGTACGATTTTTGCTCATTTTTCCTTTAGCCGTTCACATTAAGGCAAGAAAAAAAAAGAATGAAGTGATTGTCTTCTGAAATTGTCTTAGCAGCCATGCACAACGATGTCTTAGTTAAGGCGATTCAACAATACGATAACATAAATAGAATAAAGTTTCCCATGATATTCATTTTGTTTCTTCAAAAAGATTCTGTATATCGTTTGCTCCGTTTGCACAAATTGCGTCTTTCTATTTTCCTTGTTCCATGTCTTTCGCTCGCTCTCCTTCTCTCTGGCTTCGTTTCTCTGCCTTAGAAAGAACAACAAAAAAAAGTGCATAGAACTTTTATGTTTAAGAGAGGAAAAAAAACGGAAACGAAAAAAAAGAAAAAGGTAACGAAAGAATTCGCGATGAGAACGAGTGAGAGAAAGAGAGGTCCAATCCAAAACTGCTGTTATACACAACGTTGTTCGAATAATAGCAAGAAGAACTAAGCCGCGATTGCTTCGCTGCATTTAGCATTATACTGTCAGATGCGTCAGATAGATGTAATCACACTTTTTAAATACTAAGAATAAGAAGACAACAAAATCCAATCAAATATTGAATGATTTCGTTTTGGTGCAGAAATGCACCATTCGCATTGCGTTGCATGTTTAATCGCTAATCACCATATTAAATTTGCCGGAACTAATGGGCCATTGTTAATGCAATAGAATGTTGTCCACTGCGTGCGGCTCATACTGCTCTTGAAATGTACATGCAATTGCATTGACTATTTGTGTTGTGTGCACAACAATTCCGCACAAAGAAACATAGAAGAGTATCATAGTCGATTTGCTTTGTACATACTTTGAGCTACTATTGGCCACACTTCAGTCAAGAATCTTCGTTTCACAAACGTACATCCCTTCGGGCAAACATGAAATAATCACGGATTCGTGTCTTTTGTTATATGCAAATGCCAAAGAAAGACCAACACATTCAACGCAGTCATTTTCTTACCTTAAACAAATAGTTCGAAGTGGCTTTTGTCAGTTGAAACCACTACAACGGCATTAAAATCAAACCAATTTTCCTCGAAAAAGTTTTGTGAGCGCATTTAAAAGGTTTCAAGAAACTTTCAAAAGCACAACCACATTCAACACAAGCTTTTAGATTAAAACACATCAATTTCATTTATTTTTTTATATAAAAAAAAACTTCTTACACAATTAGACAAAAAAAACTGTATACTGAAATGGAAAAAGTACTGACTAGTTAAGTATTAATTGTACGATTAGATTAAAGTGAGAGACAAATTGAACGACAATATCTAATGCGAAACATAAGGTATTTCGGTTAATAACCACATCCGGCCATTTTTATCTTTGTCGTTTTGATTTACCGCTAGTTAAAATCAATTATTATTTTTAAAAAAAGGAGTTAACTTGAGGTAAATGTGTTGTCAATTAATCTAGACGCTGAAGTTCAGTTGTAGTGGGTTTGTAAACACGTTCACGTGAATATCGCTTGATGCCGTCATCGATGAACTTAACGCGACTAGGCAAATCGGTTTCTGGATCAAAAGCGGCGCCCAGTTGTTCGGTGCAATTTTCAACTTCATGCATTTCAAAGTCGGCGCCCAAAATGCAACGCAATAACATTATAAAACCGGCCAACAGCCATAGGAATATCCGCGCATACGCTACACTTTTTGCCATGTTATAATTGGTGGCCGGTGCAAATACCGTAGTGTCTTTTATGCTAAACCGATTTATGTGGAAATCGCACGGGATCTCATGATTTTCGAATTTTTGCTTGAACTCATCGCAATACGCATTCAAATGGCTATTTAAATATCCCGCGTAGAAACAGCAACAAATAGCCAACACGGCAAAACAAATCACAGCCGGTACAACCAAACGCCATGCCTTGTGAATTGTTCTATTTGAAGAAAAAAAAAAGAGAGAAACTCATTAAGTTTTTGTTTTTGCTTGAAATATACGGAATTTTAACGACAGCACATACTTAAAGGCACTTCGCTCATCCTCACGACGACTTATCATAATAAATACGATCCAAACAATGGTTGCTGTGATTTCAACGACTGGGAAGTAATAGTACATCAAGCACGTATCGGCGTCCCCCCATCTTGAACTCGCTTCATTTATTTGATCTACCGTAAAACGGAGAAAAAAATCAGAGAGAGAGAGAGAGAGAAAGAGGGAAAGAGAGAAAAAAATCACATCATTTCAAGATTCACACTTTCGATAATACAAAACAAAGTCCATTCATTTGCGTTTTACTCACAGTTTGTGTAGAAATCGGAATCGTTTGCTGGAATTGTGACGGTGAGATATGAGAGATTTGCTCGTTCGGTGGTGCTGCGCAATCCGTTTGGTCTACTGTCAAGAAATTGATAAATTTGCGTTTTGGCCAGGGCATTATTTTCATCATTCTCTCTCAATTCCTTTGACATGTAATACGTTTTAAATTCATGATACAAATCGGTGACTTTTTTCCCATAAAATTCAGCCTCTTCTTTCGTCGAATTGGTCAATGCTGTGCCAACCGATGGGATTCGTTTGAATGCTAATTGTGCGCCGGGCACACAATTATCATGAAAATTTACGACCAACGCAGAAAATGCATACGATGACAACAAACAGGTGATCAAAATCAAGATCAGTAGTATGATTATTACCCCTGAAAAAGAAAATAAACAAATCGCGAGTTGATTTTTGTGATATAAACAAATCCGTGCGCACTGATCTATTACTCCAATTTATAAACGCAAACGATGTGCAATAATATCGATTTGTTGGCATTTATGCCCAATTTATATCATCGATAACGATGTGAATTGATCGTAACTGATGTCATGAAGTGAAATATATGTGTGTTTTCTGTTGTGGGTCTGGTCTAATTCAAATCGGTTTTGAACGGCTGGCCACACAAATGGCGGTGCCGCTGCGACTGCCGCCGCGGCTGTCGCGATCTTGAAGAGTTAATTGTATATTTATACAAACTTGTGTCTTGTATATTGCGTGGGCTTTATATCGCCAGTGAATTTACTCTCCTAGTATGTTGTTTACACGATTTTTGTTCTGTTCGTTTCTTCTTAACTCATTGCTTTCAATCAAACTGATCACACATATCTCATTTCATTCACGCTCTCGTCAACATCAATAACCTTCACATTTCACACTGACTTCAGATTGCTAAGCCAGCCGTGCCGACACGATGTTCGAACAGTCAAAGATCGATGAAGCCCAACGATTACTTATTGATTTATATGAACGGAACAGGAAAAAAATTAACCAACCACAAAAAAACACATTCTACTTGTTGTCATTCTAACTAATGATGATGATTTTAGTTTGAATCGCTTCGATTTTGCGTATCAACAGTAATGCTTTGAGGCCGACGTCATTGGATGTTATTTAATAAATGATGAATATCCATTTAAGGAATTCCGTTCAAAATTTCAATAATTTTTCGTGAGTTCATTCAAAGTCATAAAATTGCGTTAACAAAATTGAGATCAAAACCACCGCAATGACAAGATGGAATGTTAAACTGATTGACACTTACATTTCCAGCACTTTTGCATTACTTTTGAATCTTTTTCCACTAGAATGTAATTGCCCATGTTTGAGAGTGTTTTCTTTTCAACTATTCCCGTTAGAATTTATCACTGTTTTTTTTTTAATTTTCATTTAATTTACACCAAATATTTTCACAATTGGTTTACGATTATATCACAGTTTTTTTTTCACTCCATTTCATTCGATACGTACAAAATAACAACACAGAAAACCACGCCAATCGTAGTTCACTGGTAATTAATACGCTGCATTTGAAATGAGAAATAAAGAAGCAAAACAAAACACCAAACACATAAATATCGGGAATTTTAGAATCCGGAATATGTCACAATGTGTGCGCTCGCAACAGAGTGTTTTCACATTTAAAAAAAAAAACGGAGTGTTTTTTTCTCCTCTCCCGTAGAAAGTGTCCATAAAAATCCGAAAAAAGAAACAGTGTGGTGTGGCGGTGAGTGCGTTCGAGCAAATTAAAATGTTGCAGCAGGAGTTGTTGGCCGAGTAAAATGCGTAAAATATGATGTCGAACAGTAATGCCGCGCGAGCATTCGTTCCACTTCTAAAAGCGATCAAATACTAACTTTCCGGACGTTTTGTGAAACAACGTCTACATCAAAGAAATCAACGGAATATATTTGTTTACACAGTGCTCGATTGTTTTTGTTGTAGAATATATATATTTCTATATTTTGTTGTTGTTGCCGTTGTTTCTATTCAATATCCAAAATCTCATATTCACGCGTCGAGTCGCAGCGAGCACATTACAAATCCATCTACGAGTGTGACGCCATCAAACACAAAATAAACTTATTATTGTAATTCATTCACGATATGGCTGGTGAGCTGCGTTCAAAGCAGCAGCAGCAGCAGCAACAGCAACAACAACAACAGCGACATCCACGAGGCGTTGGAAACGCTTCATTCGGTGGGAACCACATGAAAACGGAGCCGTAGCACTAGAAGTAGCAGTGAAGCGCGAGCTCTCTGACTATATCATAGAGCAATAACAATGGTCACAACACGCATGCATTCTCTTTCTCTCTCACTCGCACTCTCTGAGCGCTCCAAGCATTCGCGCCTTCGGCACACACATTTACTATGTTTTTATTTTTGTTGAGCTATTAACTTCTTTACGAGTTTCACTCAGACCGCGTTGAACTTTTGCATTTCATACGGATTACTCCGGCTTTTGTTTCGTTCGCACATTTTTATATTTTAAATAAAATGCATTGATCGCACAAAGTGCAATGGAAATAATACAACCGATGTACTTAAAATGTATGAAGTAATAACATCTCACAATCTAATTAAATCAAACACACTGCGGCCCAAATGGAAACTTTGTATCGCGATAATGAATTTGAAATATCGTTCTTGTTTCTCTTTGGTGGATTTTCAGGTGTATTACACTCGTCAGAGTGCTCAATCAATTAGCTGGAGGAATGAGGTGACAATTATTTAATGCCATTGGAACATTACCATATGTCTCTTGAGATATGTAATCCCAGTACATGGTGAAATCATTGTCATCCGAATGCCATTGTTCAACGATCAATTTCAATGATTTTCAACGCCACCACACATGAAAGTCAAGCCAGGGTTATATTGTTTTTTTTTGTCTATATTCGATGCTGACTACATAAATAAAGCAATTTTTTTTATGGTTTCGTTGTTTCAACCATTATACATACATCGAAACCTCTAGCATACTGAACCGGACAGAATTGTATTATAATTCCAAATGACATCATCATTATTCGCTGTTTAGTCGAAATGTAAATGAATGAACGAATAATTTATTTGATTCGGTTTGTCGTTGGACTAGCGCTCTCGTTTGTGCTATTCCTTGTGTTATTGTTTTCACTCTTTGGTTCGACTCTCTGTGTCATATTGACTGTTTGGGTGAAAAGGCTCCCATTTAACGTTGAGAATGAGAGCGAGAGTGAGCAAATGATGGGTAAACAAAAATAAAATTCTATGCTCATTCGGTCATCGCATATCCATAACTCTGTCAGAAATAGCAGAGTGCGAGCGACAGAGAAATGAAAGAAAAATCAACGATGGATTCATATTTGCTCTTTGCATGTAGGTGAATATTTATTAACGGTATATTCCATTCAGTATTGATAAATTAATGGTGCTTGTAAACAGGACAAAACCATTAAGGAGCGACACTCCTTCGAAAGGAGCCGACTAACACTTCCACTGAAATTAATTGGAATACCGACGGCTAATTAGCGATGAAATGAAACAAAAACAAAAACGAATGCTGAAAATAATCTCTCTGAAGAATTCATAAATCTTATGATAATTCTTTTCTTTATTTGCATGATTTTGAAATGCATTTTCCATTGTTTTAACATTTGCACGTTACAACATTTTCTTCCACAATGCATTTGATTACAAGCATGTAACTATCGCTCGAAACATGTTGCTTTTGTTTTCGCGAGAGGCGAAAAACGAGTAGTAAAGGAATTTCTCTTTCTTGAAAATGATCGTCGATAACAATTCTGTATGCAACCACTTTAAATGAACTGGAATTTGGTCGTTCCGTAGGTACATTCACTACATTCCGCTAAAAGAGGTATTTTTGGCCAACTTTTCGTTCGTTTCAAACAGGGAAGACTGATTTAATTGCTGCACGATAAATGTTGGTCGATTTTGAGCACAGTACGTGGGTCGTCGTTTTATTGGTTGCCATGAGACTAAAACGCACTAAACATTAACGCACCATTGACACGCAATTCCCGAACACACACAACATCGAATGTAACGTAATGTATTCGCAAAATAGCTTTGTTCACTAACCGTCGAACTGGTGCTGACACGCACCGACATTATTTTGTGGAAAATTTCAATTGATGTGTCTGTAGTACGAAATTCGTAGCAGCTTCATAAAATATTTTATTTGTTTGTTTTTTGAAAAAATACCACACTTAATCGGTTTTCGAATTTCCGTTCAAAATTCTGTTGTTTTTTGTTTCTGCTGCAGATAAAACGGGTCTCTTCGATTGAAAGCAGCATACGCATACTGAATAACATTGGCATGAGGTCATGATAACAGTCAACGCGATATACTTAGCGGCTGATATATGTATGTCAAAAAAAAAGTTCGCTTAAACCGAATTTAAATTTGTGGAAATACTTACCAAAAAATGCGCCCAACCACTTCCATTCATTCCAAACAACGAACAAAGAAACACACAATCTTAGTCTATGTTTTAAATCTCATTTTATTCAGATTCTTATTCATTTTTTTTTTCCCTCGAATAGAAATCACATTATGTTCATCGAATATTCGATTTGATTTCGTCGGATAAACGCAAATGATAAAACATTTCATCATTCAGAATCAATTGTTGAACTCTATAAACTAAACGGAAATTTGTCTATACTGATAATGTTGTTGTTGTAATTTTTTGTTGTTGTTTCGTTTTATTTGTGCAAAATATAAATGTTAAAAAACATTTTGATTCTCTTATTCTTTTTTTCTTCAATTATTTTTTTTTCTCTGTTAATTTCATCATAAAAATATATAGTACAAATTCATATCCTCTGATCGCTCAGTGCCTTATCATACAAATGTTTTGCATCTTATTTCCTATTAATCGCTCTCTTGATTTTTTTTTTGTTTCGCTGTGAGACTTACGAAAGAAAGACACATCATCGTACAAAGTTCATGTCCAAAGGAAAAAACAAACAAAAATAAACAAAAAGAATTGAATTATCTACAGTTTCCTAAATATATATAGAGTTTTAACTAGGATTCTGAGAAGGGTAGGGGACAGAGAGATGTTCGTCGTTACAATTGTAGCGCTTACGGGCAAAAGTGATCGAAATGAAATTCAATTAAATGGATTTTACGAGATATTTGTTGTTTACAATTTTTGTTTTGTTTTTAATAAAAATTTAAAAATACTGTCAAAATAGTTTACAATTCGAAAATATTGATTGTTGCTATATCTATACAATATACATAAATGTTTGCGGCTTTTTATATATATATAATTTTTTCTTTCTTGATATCTGTTATATGTATCGTAATGGCTATTGGAAATTGTGTGATGTAAATACTTTTGGTTATAAAAAAAAAAAACAAAGTCAAAAGAGTAGTAGTAGTTTTTTGCTTGGAGAATGAAACACATTTTATCTTTACTTCTGCTTCTTTTTTTTTCTTTGTTACGACGAATTACTAAATAGAATGTTTATCGCAGCGTGGCGGTACCTTCACGTAACTATTGGCTCTTTTCCAAAAAAAAAAATCTTTTTTTTTCTCTTCAAATCAATTGTCTCACAATATTTCAAAAAAATAAAAGTGAAAACTTGCCACATTTTGCCTTTAATAATAATAATAAATTATACAGAGTGAAGCTTTAATTCCAACAAAAATCGGAACGGGATTAGCCTAACATGAACATAATAAATTAAACCGAAAATTGGTTAGCTTATTCTTAAAAGAATGAAATAATAATCATAGTAATAAATAAGATTTGACGCAGAGACAACCAAGAATTAATCATAAATTAAATTTTGGATGTCTGTTAATATGGACGCAAATGTTGGTTGGTTGATTATTTTTTTCGTAATAAAATCACACGCTTTCGCTCTCCCTCTCTATCTCTCACTTCATCATCTCTTCTCGCATTTCTTTCATCATCTCTTCAAAATCATAATTTTAGCCGTTTATTTCTATACGTGGAAAAGAAAGGGGGAGAAAAATAAATTTCTTCAGCATTTGATGTGATACTCGACTGAAAAATTGCAACTTCTTTTCTGACAATAACAAACGGACATGCAACAAAACTATACAATTTTCGTTTTTTTTATGTAAAAATTAATACGAAAAAAAAAACTATGAACGTTGCATAACTCGTTAGCAACGTTCGAGAATTCATGCTTTTGTTATCGCTACAGAAATCTTTCTACATCTCTTTTAATTCTTTGGAAAACCCATTGACCCTCGTGTCAACCGCATAAACACTCATCATTGATATTTATTACATGGAATTTTAAAGGGCGCACCCACAAAAGAAAAACGGTTTCTATTTTTAATGCTTAGAACAATGCTCGTTAGCTGATAATTTTGTCAAACGGTATTACATCTCAACATTTTAAGCTATCAAAATCGGTAGATCAAAAAGTAATTATCATTTTCAAGAGGATGAGATACAAATACAGAGAGAAAGAGTGAGAAAAAGAGCCATTCGAATAAATAACATTAGATTTTGACAGATGGAATACCGTTCGACAAAGATACATTTAAAAAAAACGCAAGAAAAAAAATCAAATCGACTTCAATACAACGCATTTTTGAGACACAAACTATCTCAAAATCGCCACTAAAATTAAACATGCTTCACAAACACACACGCATTTCTGTTCTACTTAAATTTCCGGGTGAATGTACCGGGAAGCGTTGGACTCTCTGGAGGTGTATTACCTTGGCTATGCTTTTTCGGCGCACTCTTAAACGGATGCAATTTACGATGTGGCCGAGGCGATGGATGGTCAATATTTACAGCGCTTATTATCTGATTTGGAATGTCACGAACTGATAGTTTTGTCGATTCAGCTTGTGGCTGACTCCATTCTGAAAATGTTAAGTTTTAACGTTAGTTATTTCGTTTTATAATTTCTATTTGATGTTTTTTATGGAGAAAGTGTACACACTTTTCGATTGATTGCGATAGCTGTTGTCGATCATTGCTGATGCAAGCGAACTATTTGGATTAGCTGGTATGTTATGGCTCAGTGACAATGGACTGTATACACGTGATGTGAAGTCTTCAAATGTATTGCTATCTTTGTGTCGCGATGCGATCGTATCCAGTGAACGTTTTCGCTCTTCATAGCTGAAATCATGGGACGAAATTCGTTTCGTAAGAATCTTTTTCGGAAAAAATGTGACACAAAAAAAGCGTTCAACTTACAATTGTTGGTAGAATGGCAGTGATGAACGTTTAGCTCGACTAGCATTGATTGCGGTAGCACGGACGAGATTAGCCAGGCATGCGCCTCCGACGATCGATTCATCGGTGAGTGGTCCAAACCATGGCACTTCTGGCTTTCGATTCACTGTCACACGGAACAGCCCACTTTTCAATGGATAAATCACAATTAAAACATCACAGAATTCCGTTGGCAGTATATCACGGCGATAGTCTCTATAATGTTCGCTCCACACAATGTGCACTTCATCGTTGCCCAAATGTCGTGTCTTATTCAAAATCGCTTCGGAACTATCGTATGGCATTCGTGTTGCCACATGATAAATGACCTGCAGATAAAATGATTTTGATTTTCTTCATTTTTTATTCAATAATTTTAATGATCATCACATGGGTATCAATTACCTCAAAGAATGGTGTTGCATAATAAGGTGACGTTGATCCACATCCTTGACGCGGCAAACCACCCAAGAATCCATTATGCGATTCCAATTCGACCTCCCATCCCAATGCTGACACAAACATTTCGTAAGTACTGCTGCCACAGGAATTTCTGTAAACGAAAACAAAATCATTGATTCACGTTCAAGATTAGAAAGTGAAACAGGAGTGAAAATCGCTCGAAAAATTACCTGAAAATACTATTTTTATCCTCTTGCCCGCTGGCCACATAGATCACTGCCACTTTGTGTGTTTCGCGACAGCGTTGCATGTCCAAATTCCGTAGTTCTCGTAACAATTTGTCGGTTCGAATCAGAAGATGTGTACGTTTCCTTCGTTCCCAACCAGCCAAGCCCAATTGACTAAATAGCAATTTGCAATAATGGAATTGCGTATCGCTCTTGATCAAACTGTTACCAGCCGATCGAGAGCCGTCGTTTTTGGTTCGACTGAAGTGGTCTTCGCGTGAGAGTCGCACGGGTATATTGATATTTTGAGCACTTTGTACTGTTTTGAAATCCTGTTCCAATGATTTTTGGTTCAAGATTATCGATATGGTTTGCGCCTCCAGATGTGAACCTAATGGCGTTGGAGCAGCTGCATTCAAAAATGAGCATGGATCTTCCAGGCATTCAGGGCTAGTGTGACCGATGTATTGCAACAGCTGTGAATAATTAAATTAAAAACACAATTTGAAAATTAAATAACGAAATTGATTCGAAGAATTGAGCATTTCCAACTGAACTTACATCATCCAATTGATCTAGATCCGGTGCCAAGTCGTTCGCAAGCGGCAATTGATTCGGTGGACGATGACGCAGAGTGTGTTGTCGTGGATTTAATGGCAAACCGACGGTTGATGTTAGTGGATCAAGCGATGCGCCAACTAAGAAATTTCTAGCACCATGATGGCTCATTGCAATTTGTGCTTTATCCATAAAATATTTGCTGTCTTGATTGGCTCCAATTTGTAAATTAGGCTTTTCATCGATATTGTCAATGTTTGTGATTTGAATTTTTGGTTCACGATACAAGATGCTAGCATCCCAGCAAGCTTTGCCATTTAAATCACGCAGCAACACGCGCACCTGCCGATCAGCGGTCACAAGGCCAGCCGTTATACCGCCACCGGGTAATTTTAAAGCTGACAATTCAATGAAACTGGCGACTAGACATGGATTCAACAAAAACATTTGTAAGTTGGAGGCATTAAGTACTTGTGAGGTTAAATCAACGGAATCGCGTGGGCCAACCGTTGAATCGACGCTTTGTTGTATGAGACCCATGTCATCGTGTTCATCAACAATCGAACTAAGGCGTGATGCACCGATACCCATTGGGAAATGTCCCAAATTCGTGACCAAATGCATGGCCACCGTTTTGGCGCACAAACGAATCGCATTGATGCAATTTTGGGTGGTTTCAGCCGTTTGGAAATTGGCTTCGTTGGACGATAACAACTTAACGTCATCCACGATAATAGTCATATCGAAATCTTCATCGGGTGTAAACAGTTTAATACGATCCGTTTGAGCTCCCGTTCCGATCTGATGCAAAATCCGTAGCACAATCAACACCAAATTATCCGGTGAGTCTGACGAAAGGGATTGTATTAAAATTTTCGTCGGAATCGACATACAAAACTCTCCCAAACACAGCAACAACGCCGTCAGTACATGTTTATCACTCTCCTTCGGATGGGTTACATTCTGAATTTCCAATGCAATGCAAATTGATTTGACTATCAGATGTGGCAAACGATCGATTTCCGCAATTTGTTTGCCTTTGTCCGCGCATAATTTCAACGATTCGGCCGCAACACGTGCAATTGTTCGATGTTTGAATTGAATTGCTTGCAAAATGACTTGAATCGCTTCTTTGATGCGTGGATTTTGTGGTGTTTGTTTGCCGGGTGATGATCGCTGTCCCTTGTAAGGGACATTTTGTTGGAATCCTTTGTCGGATAGATGTGATTGGCCCAATGTTTGTAGCACCCATTGAGCGAGCGCTGAAATTGCGATGCATCTCGCTTTCGAAGTGGGTTCACGTCGTGCACAACGTAAAATTACATTTAACACATGCTCTTGTATGTCGGGACAATCGACAAGTGTAACATGCGGTTCGGATGGTTGTAGAAATTGCTTTGGCAACGATGTTCTTGGAAAGCATAACAATGAACTGAGCAAACCCGTCACTTCGGCCCTTGGAACGTTATTTGTTTCGGTCGATGTGAGAATGACCGTTGATGCATGAACCAAATCGAGCAACAGTAGTGAATGACCGGGTAGAAGTAAGCTCAAAAAACGTGGTCCACCCAAGTATTTGAGCACAGTATATGCCATCGCTCTGTCTTCACCAGTCAACGCCTGATGCAATGCATGATAGAACAACGGCAACTGATCGTTACCCAATGGTGGTCCATATTTCACGATCGAACACAGCATTTGTAAGGCCCATAATTTTCCATCTCTGTATTGATAATCCAACGACAATGCGCCATAGCACCATGATGAGAAAATTCCGATTGGCGGCACCAGAGTCGGTGGATTTGGAGTACTTTGATTATCACTTGATATGCCTTGATTCTGTCGAATTTTTATCAAACTATCCGTAATATCGACAAGGTGTTTGAAGACTTGAGCATGCAATTTTGGATTGAGAATTTTGTTGACGTCACCGAGCGCGCCAAGCATTCGTTTCCACATGACAGCAGCAACGTCTGGCAGCCAACCGCGTGCAGTGCCTCCCATCAGAATCGAGCGGCGATCGGCCGACGGAATATTGCTGTCATCTTGAGTATCGATGCTACTCGAATCGCCTGCCAACATATCGATTTGAATAGTGTCTTTGATGCTGCCGCCTTCGATTCCGTTCGATGCGGTTGGCGACGGTGTTCTGGATCCTCTGGTGCTCTCGCCCAACGGATGATGACGAATCGAATCGAGTGACAAGGCTCTTCGCAACGGTGTCGATCCATCACCGCTTTGCGACAATTTCGAAATGTTCAATGCTTCGGTGCTTACGCTAAGATTTGACGGTACACTGGATAAGATTTTATTGAGTGAACTCTCAACATTGCTCGGCAACGTAGGTACTTTTGATGGTGTTTTCCGTCGTCGTGCTCTTGATTTACGTGTCGGTGCTAAACTTCCTTCACTATAGCTTCGATTCAGGGTGGTTGTCCCTGATATGGTGCGTTGACGTCCGGTTGTTGAGCTTTCGTACGGCTGTTCTGTTGCTTCATCAGCAATTTCTGTTTTTGTGACATTTGAAAGACTAGAGTTCTCTCTACTTTCCAATGGTTGTTGCGTAGCTGCGCCACGTCTTCGTTTGCCTTTCTGTTCGGCCAATCTATCCAATGGAAGATCCTGTAAATTCAAATTGTACACTTGCCGCGCCATGACTCGAGTTAAAGTTTGCATCGTTTTATTCCATTCGATGATTAATTCTTCACGATGTGTCAACGACGAGAGGACATTTAAAAATTTCGACCACAATCCTGGATTAACTGGCACATTTGTGTGTGCCCGAATCCATGTTACGATCAATGTCTGAAATACGGGCTGTGCCAAACGGCCGCCCAAATTGTTTCGCTTCGAATTTGGCGGCGCTTGACTCAGAATGACAGCGGTTATTTGCAACAGCACCAGCAGCAATTGTTCCCATGTTTTCGCATCCATTTTCGTGTTCATCACCATCGTGCGATAAATATTCAAAACACTTTTGCACACATCAGTCTGTTCATCGAGCGGTGTCGTTTCGCGGGATTTCGAATGTAGTACAACGCTTGAATGTGCCGTTTGTACCATGAACACGTTAGCCGTATTGGTGACAAACACTTGCAGCACATTCTGAGATCCGGCACGAATCAAAAGATTTTCCTTTGTAATGGCGCCCAAATACGAATCGGTTCGCAGCCGTTGATTTCGAGGCACTAAATCATGATTACCGCTATTGTCTTCCGGTTCCAATAGGAATGGTGGCGGCGTCCCACTCATCCATTCCTTGTACGTGGCAATTGCCGTTCGAATCGCACCAATTTGTGCGCGTGTATTGTAATTTAATAAAAATGCTTGTCGATACACCTCATGCACAAAATTGATGTTGTCACGTGTCGAATACAGAACGTCTTTTATGAGGTGCGGCTGCATATAACCGATATATTTGGCATTCGACATAAAATTTGCATGATCGGTTAAATCATCTTCGATATTCATAAAAATGCGATTGTTACTAATTTTATCACGTGTATACATTGACACCCAATTCACTAGAACCACAACACATGAGCTCATCACTTCCTCACGTTTGCTTACCGTTCGCATCACGGGCAAATCTAATTTTGGCTCGTAGATCGATGTAAAATAGTCGAAATTCGGGCAAATCAACGGCAAATACACTTCTTTGAATCGTTGTAAAAGGAATGCAAATGATCGCATATGCCGTTGCGGTGTGTTGTCACGCCAACGCAAACCGCCCGTCGCCCGAAGCATCCCGTCGAGCAGCACTTCGAGGCCATCACGTGGATCTGGGGCAGCCGTTCGTTCATTGCTGGCCGGTGGCAGTAGAGGTGTTGCTTCCGGTGAACGTACCGGATGAGCGCCTGTATCGTGAAACACTGATGCTCCCATTTCACCCTTCATATTCGGATGATTCATCAAATCGTTAGCGACGAATTCCGTTTCGGCCAAACCAATCTGGCCCTTCTGCGGTATTATCAAACCAGGTATCAGCTCGGTGAACATCTGATGCACATGCGGTGGTGCATTTTCGCAAAGAGCTTGATACCAAAGTAGAAAGAACCTGTAACAAAAACCAATGGATCAATTAATAAAAAAATTTCAATTTTTTTTTCTCTTTGAAAACGAAAAATGTTTGCATTTTTCAATACATACCTCACTCCTTCCCTCCTCAGTTTTGCACTGTTACCATGATGAAGCAATTTGGCCATCACCCGGCCGAGTGAATGGCATTGCCATCGTCGTGCCACAAGCTCTGGCAACAGGTGCAATATTCTCCCCAGCAGCCATAGTGATCCGTCTAACTCCTCTCGATGCGCTTTATGTACTAGAAATTCGACGTAACGACAATAATGACAAATTAATTAAAACAAATTGGATCCAAAAATTTCCATAACATTCCTAATATCATGCAATCATCCAAAACAAAAAGGAAGGCGTGCTTAACTATGACCAAATTAATCGATATCCAAATATACAGTGCCAATGTGATTAGTAGGTGAAGCATTGTTAGTACATAATAGAATGAATTGAAGATAATTTATTAAATTCCAAAGTGAGAAGCGATAAAAAAACACAACAAAATGAAAATTACAAACGGAAACGAATTAAAATTGTAACAGATGCACGAAAAAAAAACGTTCGGATGAATAACACATGTGTAATATAGAGAGTTGCAGAATCATTACGCTTTTGTTAATTGTTTTATTTGTTATTATGGAAGCATCATTCGGTAGAATGAAATAAACGCGAGATTTGTTCGCATTAGGAAAGATTATCAGCAGAGCGGTGAACAACAAACACAACAACGGAATGAAAAAAATGAGTGGTAAAGAACAAAGCATGCCAAAGAATGCATTTTAATTGGTTGCTATCCTTCACTTACCCAGATGAAATAAATTTTCTGTACACCGATTTCCAGTTTTTTTTTTACAAAAAATATATGAAAACAACACAAAAACCAAAAAAAAGAGAAAGAGAGAGAGGAAGAAAAAGAGAAACAAAATATAAAATAGATATAAATAGTGGTAGTAGTAGTAGTAGTATATTTTTTGAGCATTTTAACGATTTCTGATTAAAGTAATCAATTGTACATTGTGATTGCAAATCGATTACTGCTACTGTTGTTATTGTTTGGTTTTCTCTCTCATCTACACTCTACGGATTATACAATTTGTATAGAATTTAAAAAATGCATCAGCTATGCAGAATGTATAAAATGTGTTAACTCAAGTGTAACTCTTTGCCAATATACTTTGAATATAATACACAAGGTTTTTTTTATTTTCGTTTAAAATGAAATTCTATTTGCTTTTCTCTATATAAAGTAAGTACTTGGCGTTTTTTTTTTCTTGGCGAAGATGTATTAGAGAGAGAGAGAGAGAGAGAGAGAGAGAGAGATGTTTTCATTAGTGTAAGCGATTTATACATTTAATTCTGACAGTTTTTTTTTATCTGCTTGTTTTATTTTGTGTTGCATTTTATTATATATTGATTTTTATTATTTTGCTGTGGCATACTAAACGATCATGTGTTGTGAATATATGTATAAGATACACGCCATCCAAATTACACGCTTCCACCATTGAAGACAACATAAACTGAACATTATTGATACACACGCACAGTGAATGTGTTGTGAAGCTCAAGCGAGCAGGATCAGCACTTACCTCTTTGCCGCAAATTCGTTTCAGCCTGCACAAATGTGTCATAGAGTATGAAATAGACATGGCTGTAGTTGGATTCGAAAATTGATTTCGCCTCATCGATATCAACGTGCTCTGCAAATGGAAAAGAAAACGTCGGGCCATAGGGAAAACAAATCGAAAAGAAAAGAAAAGAAAATGAAAGACAAATTAACATTAGTCACGGTCACATATTTAGCTCTTGATACTGTGTCACACAAACCGTGACACTTTTAATGATATTACACTGCTGTTGCTGCTGCTGCTGCTGCTGCTGATGTCGTCGTTATTTGTTCTTTATGGCATAGACAAATGTAAATTAGGGCAGCAGAGATCTAACAAGGCTCGGCTAATTTGCGAACAACGCGTTCGCATACCTCTACCATCGAAACAAAAACAAAAACAACAATGGGCCGGGAGATAGATAGAGAGAGAAAATGAAACGAACGGCGTAGCAAAAGGAGGGAAGTAAAACAAAAGCAAATGGGTACAAAACACTTTCAGCCGTTGTGAAATGAATCGATTGGTTTGAATGTCAACGCATAAAAAAAAACCTTATCAGCTGGCATAGTTACAATTTGGCAAATGTCGCAGTAGAAATAGCGAGCGCATTACAACCATTTTAGAATGGCATGCAGTAAATTTGCTGAAAATAAATTGGCCAAACAATGAGGCAAACAAATACCGAGAGTATACTGGGAACGTATTGAAAGTGCGTCACACAAACTACATACACACATTCTGCATGGTTTTGAACTGAATTCACTGGATACAAAATTCATGCTAATTAAACCGAAACATCATGAAACAGGCCAGTAAACTGTTTACCAATGCAATTGAATGAAAATCACGGAATTACAGACAAAAACAGAGATAGAAAGATAGAGAGAGAGAGAGAGAGAGAGAGAGAGAGAGAGAATGAGCAAACATTGAGTGTACACGATGCGCACACATAGCAAGAAAAAAACTTTTACAGTAAATCTGAATGTTTTGAAGTATTTTTCTGTGTTTCGTTTCGGTGTTGTTTTTTTTTCTATTCTGAAAATTGAATATGAAAGTATCGGCACGAAATGATAAATAAACAAAGCAGCGGAAAAAAGCCACACTCAGTTATGATGGCAAGCAGCGCGCGCGGCAACCAAGCATAGACACGTAGACACTTGGCGAAAAACGGTAAATAAAGTGTTTGTGCAAAGTATGTGGTTTTTTGAAGGCAACGAAGAAAGAAGAAGAAGGAGAGAGAGAGAGAAACATGGAAAAATGGAGTAAAAAGAAAGAAGCCGTGAAATGGTTGACTAGAGTGTATGGCATTGCTCCATGAACGGTTCCCACAATGAGGTTTTCATCTAGTCTTTCAACTCTAGCATCATTGAACAACATAACATTAATGAATTGTGCCTAGAGTGTGATAGTGAGTGAGCGCGCGATCGAATATTTGCTCTCTTTCGTTCTTCGTAAAGTATAATAAACCGTCGGATCATGATGTTTCCCATTTAAAGTCAAAGACACCAATGGCAACTGAACAACAACAACGAGCGAAATGAAAAAAAAGAAGGGAATAAGGCATAAATACAATAGCCATGATTCACATTGGCACATGCAAACACACCATTCACATTCAGATACATTCATATCGCTTATATCCGATGAAATAACGCGCGCAACAATAGCAAACCATTCCAAAAAAAACCGACTATGACTCTCTCTCACAGTTAAAGAGATGACGAAGCGGTCATCGTCGCGGCAGCGACAGCATGTACACAAGACAAAAACAAACGTCCACAGCCTCATATCTTACTCTCTCATGCACACACACACAGCCATACGCACATGCATACACACCCGCACATGACACAATCCGTATGCAAAAGCATTCCACACCTGTGGATAAAACGACTTCATTGAATCAGTAAACAGACGTAATTTTCGAATATATTCACGATGATCGCTGTTTCACACACGCATATTAGAGACATTCAAACGAACAACACAATCGAACTCTATGGATTGGCACCGATGCAAATGACAGAAATTGTTGAATACTTTTTTTCTTCTCTATGAGTAATGCTTTGCAAATGAAAAGGAATAAAATAAATGGTGGACGAAACACGCAAATGAAAGAAAACCACGAAGAAGAATCGAACATTTAGGTGTTCACCACCACCCACTGGAAACGATTGAAAGATGCAGGTTTTTGATGTGCAAACCAATAAACACGCATCATTTGATTGAATCGTTTCGGTTTTGTTTGCCGCAAAATACCAAATCAACTTTTGAAAATGCTGAAGCTCATTCCGATCGGTCTATGTATCACCTGCATTTATCAACTTGCTGCGTTGTCACATGAAACACACAAAATTGAAAGAAAACAAATTAGACACACATTCATTTGAAATTTATCGCAATAATTTCGCTATGACTGTTGTTCGTTCTTATGGCTTTCGTTTAATTGAGAATTTCTCATTAGAGCTTTCGTTCATCAAGCACCTATTCGCGCATACCACACAAATACCGAGTTCAGTGTGTAACACGAAAAGTAAACAACAGGCTTATTCAATATGCACAATGGCACAGAAAATTAGAAGAAAAAAATTCTAGTTCCAGGAACAGAAGGGTTTGTAATTTTAGAAAAACACGCGATGATGAAGAACAAACACAGCGTCTGTTCAAATCAGCAGCAGCAGCAACAGCAACAACGGCGGAAATTTGGTGTCAATTTCTTTTAATTTTACCTAATATGGTTTTGAGGTGTCGCAATCGAGATGCCGTATCTTTTTTACTATCTTGAATCTTTGATGTCAACTTTTTAACATCAACATGTGTCTTTTTTATGAACATGATGATGATGACGACGACGACGGCGACAGCAACAACGACGACGTCGACGACGTTATTGGCAGAAATTTATGTTGTGGTTTTCTGACACATCAACACTAATTCTAATTACATAAATGAGCACTGAACGATGGTTAGCGCGTAGGTATGGAATAATCATCAGTGCAAGAAATGGACGATGGATAACGATGTCGAATGTAAAACAGAAAAAAATATGACACATACACGTAGACAAACACACGCGCGCGTACACACACACCCGATATTTTTCTTTTTTTTACTTTTTGGTATTTCGAACGATTTATAACAAATGCCCGATTTGGAAATCAAGTTGCACTGTGTGGTCAGTCACCAAATGCACATATTATAAACAATATAAATAGATATAAAATCAAATTGCACACAATCGATCAATTTTACTATTTCTTTGATTATTTTCTGCTGTTTCTTCGTTCAGTGTTTGTTTGTTTTTCCTCTGCGTTCTTTGCGATTCGCGCTGTTTAATCGTTCAGCAAATATTTGTCATTTGGTTTGTTAGTTATTTGCTTTCAATACTTTTTTTACTTCATCATTTTCTCTATGAACACGGTTTACAGTTGTTGACCGATCTGATTCTGCTTTTTTCCCTGTCATCATGCACATAGGCAGAGGAGAGCACTACACGTTTGGATCATGTCCTCGATTTTCGAACGATTTTTTTTGTATGATTTTTATGACAATTCGTTCGATTGTTTTGGTTATTGGGTGTCTCTTGTCATGCACGATACCAATCAACAGTGAAACACCATTGCATTTTTGCGCTCGTTTTTCTTTCTTCGGTGGTTTTTGTTGTTGTATTCTCTCATCACATATTTGTCTCACTTTCAACCATTAATCGAAACGAAAATATAAACCATATGCACTTAATATTTCTGCACTGCTGCCGTCGTGTTACGGCTCTTTCTCTTGCCAACTTTTTTTTCAAATGAGCTCGAAATTTTACAACATGCTGCACAATTTTTGTGTGAGTGAGTGTAACTGGCCAATTCAATGTCTTCATTTAATATTCCACATTCGTCAGAATCACGTTTGACTTTAAAGTGATTTTCTTATGTTATTTTTTCTTTCTGCTGCTCGCTCTTCTTCGACTGTGCTGGCTTCTTGCAGTTCGGTCTCGGTTTGTTGTTGTTTTCTTCTTCCGTTTATCAAACTACACACACGGAACACCATTAGAATGTGAATACATATCGTACAATTGAAAATTCACTTAGCACAAAACAAAACGCGGATTGAGCGAATATTATTTAGCGAGCGAGAGAGGAAAAAAAGAATATTGCATTTCATGTAGTGCTAAAAAAGAAAGGTATGTACATAAAAGCAAACTGCATATATACGCAACACCATTACCGAAACACGAATGAAAAAAAAAGAAAACAATCGCTTATACTGTCTCTCGCGCACACACAAACACCGACAACCGAAGCGAACAGAAGACGAAATTTTTACAAATGAATTTAAAGCGAATGAAAAACCACACCAAAAAAAAACGCTATGAAAACAACATCGAAATCACAAATCGAACGAAATTTCGTTTGTATGAATGAAGTAATAGTTTTTGTTTCTTTTCTCGATTTTTTGAAGTAATGAAGAAGAAAGGTAAGTGAACTTGACAGCAGAAAATCAATTGCAAATAGAAGACATTGTGTACTACATTGTACAACACAGCACAGGCTATTCGCATTCAACTTGTGTTGAATGGTTTTTGGATATATATGAAGGAGAGAGAGAGAGAGAAGAGAGAGAGAGAGAGAGAAGAGAGAGAGAGAGCAAAGAGAAAACATTTGTGGGGATATTTCGATAGAAATTCACTCGATGTGAGTGCGGTGTGCATGTGAGTGTGGGTATGGGTATGCATGTGTGTATGTGTTTGTTTATGCGTGTTTTGGGCATTATGGCACTGCACGTGATTGTGTACGTGCTCTGCTTACAGGTTTGTATTTACGTCGCATATATATATATGTACCGTACAAAGTGCTGACATACATTCGTACTGTGTGTGCGAGAGAGCGCAACACTTAGCGGTTATGCGGTACACACGGTTCGGTTTGCACCGAAACGAAGACGGTAACAAAAATGGTCGCAACCGATTCAAACACATTCCATTGGAATCGGATAGATTGCAGCACTGTGACAACGCGCCCGATTCGAAACCACAACCCAGCTATCGGTCGATTGCACTCAATTTATTCAATAGAGCAAATACTCACATGTCACGAGAATTCTCGTTTCGGCTAGTGAGTCGTAATTCTTGTCCTTTGACGCAATCATTCAAGTTTTATGTTTACACTGTGTCGTTACTTATCACGACAACGAGCTAAAATGAGCCACAAAACAATTGACTCAATTGGAAAAACCCAGACAATACAGCTAACGTTGCATAATGCATTGAATGAAAATACCGAAAAAAAAGAAGACAGCAATACGAGGAAAAAAGAACACGATTGCCATGTATATGGACGGTGATAGGCTTCAATGTACGTAAAATCAGTTGAAAACACTCATCACACTCATTCCAAAGTTAAGCGATCGGGAATTCACAGACCAATATTTTTTTTTAAAATACATACATTAGGTATTTACGGCGAGCGATAAAACTGGTTTTCTCTCTTGGCATACAAAATCAATTAAGATTTTGCTCTATGCGATCGTCTTCAACACCATCATCATGACGATAATGTTGTGTCTCAACAAAGAATTCTGTGTGTCGCACCACAGATCTATCTAGAGCCACCGCATACACTAAACGAAAATTATCGAAATGTCATGTTTGTTTTTATCTCTCTAGCCACATTATGAATCCTTTGAAGATATATCAGCTTTTAAATTTTGACCCCCTACCCATGAAACATGAGTACCGCACACAATATAAAAGAGAGACACACACCACACAGTTCGGTCTGTACACACACAAAGTCCACTTGTGGACTTGACCAAGTATGTGCGGAAGCATATGTATACATATATATATATATATGAACAAGATGTTGTCAATGAACAAAAAAAAAACACGAAATTCAACACTGTAATCACATGTATATCGGAACGACCACTTCGATTCATACCAATAAATGTGTACGAAAAAAAGGTAGCATATTGCCTTCATTATATTTCACTTCTATGAAAGAATACGAACAGTGAATAAACAATGTTTGTTGATGTTCCTTATAACAACAACTAATCGGTGTCGTGCTTGTATGTGTCTTCATATTCCACTGCCAATGTAACGCTGCTCTCGCTTGCTCGCTCACTTGCCTATGTTAATTTGATTTCAGTAAAAACGTTTATTTTATTCAATTTTTTCGTTCGCTTGCTTCATTTTCGTGAATCCGTTGGTTTTTAATTCCTTATTTCTCACGCAATAATATATTATTCATATTTTAAGATGTTCAGAGTAGTTTAATATTCGCAACGCCATCGACAACTCAATCTCGCTCACACTTTACGTCTCTCACTCTCTCTATCACACTCTCTGTGTGCGCCTCTGTTTTAGCCTAGTGTCATTTGAATTGTTGTGTGTATATACAATTTTTGTATTAGGTTTTTTTTTTCGTCTGATTATACGCACAGACCGTGAGAATTGCCATTGAGAATATTTTGTAGTGCGGCAAACAAGAAGCGAATAAAAAAATAAAAACGAGAAATCAAAATACAACATCATAAATAAAGTGTCTTAGCAACGAATTCAAAAGACGATCGCACGTCAACAACTCAACAGCACTTCATTATTTTAAAATAATTTTCGTTTTTTTTTTATTCGGTATTAGCGCAATGAATTCAAACTGTCCGATTGCATTATGTGTTTTACTCAATTTGATATTACTATGTCACGGATTAAACACAGGAAGATATAAACGATATAATGTAGCAAGAAATGGTAACAATGTTGGTTTAGGAATTGGTTTTCCTGAATCCGAAGAGCAGAATCCGGACACTCAACATAAATTAGTAAGAATTTTGAATATATAAATTCATCTACATTATACATGTGCACTTTTTTTGTTGTTCCATTTATTCGCTATACTATTATGAAGAGAGTTAATATTTTCAGCTGTTATCATTTGCATATTTTTAAAACACAAAACCATTGAAACGCCGTTTAAATGCGTCAATGATGTTAGTTAAAATTTGGTGCAGAATTTCATTAATTTTTCTTCAGTATGAATCCAAAAAAAGAGGAGAAGCAGAAGAAGAAGAGGGAATAAGTGCAAAAAATATACATTTTTTTTCGGTGTTTATCAGTAAATATTATCAAGTTCAGCTGGTTCAAAGTAACACATTTGTCGTACGCTTTGAAAATGTGATGGGTTTCAATCTGTTAAGTGTTGTTGGTTTTGTTGTTGTTGCTGTGTCAATGTTAAAATAAAACTTAATCACATTTGTCTGATTACGATGAAGATTCGATGTGAGATGCGGAAATTACACATATCATGGATTTCTAACTGATTTGTTTTTCTCTTCTGTTACGCACATAGCACAAGCAGCCTGTTCAATTTCCATCAAAATGTAAGGATGGTGAACTGTACTATCCCGGTGATCAAGGCGATGATTGGGTATGCGATTGTAAACCAGGTACCTAGAACAAACAAAAAATTACTAACGCTTGAACGTATGTCGTATGTGCTAAATTCCATTTGATTTCATTTCCTGTGCAGGATATGTTTTCTATCCACCGAGCAGTCAGTGTTTCGCAGCTTTTAAAAGAGGTCCATGCAATGCAGGCAATTATCTAGTTTTGCCCAAATCAAGTGTGATACCGGAATGCGTTCGAAATCCGTGCGTACATGACAATTTTGTAAGCTTCAGGGGTAATTGCTATCAGCTGGACAAGTCCGGCCCATGCCCAGTACCAGAGCTAATGAATGTGATCGGTGTTAACGAGACCACGTTGGAGATTATTTGTACGCTGGGTTATACAGCGAATGAGGTGTTTAATACAGCAACACGGTTTGGCGGGAGTACTGAGAAACCGAGCAATCAATCGACGCCATCAGATAACAACTCAACTACACCCGCACCCGAAGTCATTTTCTACTATCGAAAGGAATGTTTCAAGGGTGGCAAACGATGGAAGGAGGAGAAGTGTCCACAACAAAATGAACAGAAAAATATAGATGACATATTTGGAAAGTTATTTGAGTGATTTAAATCTCACCAGATTTTAATTTTAACTATTACCCTTTTTTTATACAAATAATAATACATATTTTCAAAATAAATCCAAGAAAATCGGATAAGAAGAGTATTAATCTGTGCATCTGTTGTTTTATCCAGTTTCATCGTCACTGTTGCCATGATCTTCGGTGGTTGTGTACAGTGCAGCGATTTTAGATTTTAAATAAAAATCTTTACATTGTTGATGGAAGCATGATGTGGGATATTGTGGTGATTTTTGAACAAATTGGAACAGTGCACACATTTGTAGTGGCGTTAAGGAACCGCATTCGGTGAATGCATGAAATGTGTGGCTCTTCAGATGCTGCATGAAATTTGTGCTATTTGGCTTGCAATGCGACGATTGCTTGAATTTCGATGTGATTAAATCAACTCCGATTCCTGGGATCCATTGCCTAAGCGTGGAAGAGAAGAGAAAAATAATGAACATCAAACCTTCCGAGAGTGAATCAGTTTAGGAAGTTAAATCTTACTCCAATTTCGGGATAACATATCCTTTTCGTTTGAAAAGGCATTGATTTACGAAAAATCGAAGCAGAGGCAAATCGCCTGGGCTACATATCGAAAACAAATCCCTTCTCGGCGTCATTCGAACCAAATAGAATAAATCCGTATCATATTCAATCTACAAAAAAAAAAATGGACCGAGAAAAAAAACAAATCCAAATCGTTTGACAATGTTGAGTAAATTGAATAATAAGTACCTTGCCACCATATGCAGGTTTTGGGTTAAACCAAGGTAAGAAGCTTTCTTTTTGGAATTCAGCCAGTAGCTCGTATTCGAAGAAAATTTGAAAAAGGCAACTTTTCTGTGTGTACAACCAGTATTTTGAATCCGGATTAGCTGTAATTCTCTGAAATAGAATTTCACCGAAGAGGGAAAAAAAATGCGTCAGTAAAAATGATTTCATCTGATATGAGTTTATATAAACTCATTTGATAAATGAGCCGAAATTACCATGAATTCCAACAATGGAACTATGGCAAAAATATCGATTCGCCCATTGGCAAACAGTCTTCGTTGAATAACTACATCGCTGATAATTCGAAAAAAATCACTCGATTTTAAATACACAAAGAGTTGACAGACAACATCTTTGTGCCATTGTTGTTTTTCACTGTGCTCCTGAATTAAATTAGCCATTCTAATGTAAAGATACCAATGGTGTTCCAGGGCATTCACCAATATTCGGGATTTATGCAATTGTGACACTTCCTGAAATAATATGAAAATTTATTGGTTAATGGCTGGCTGGCTATGGGTGTCTAAAGTGAATATTCCATACCTGTTGAATGTGAATGAATTCTTTGTTTTTCTCGATTAAACCGAGTTTCTTTGGCTCTAGGTGACGCAGTAGAGCCTTTGCAAGAATACATGGTCCTGGATTGACTTCAAAAAATGGCACATTCGGCATACGAAACCGAGCAATAGCTTTTGCAATCACATTTGCCGCATCATCATCGGCTACATACAGATCTATGTCTTTTTTCGATGTAATTCGTTTCAAATCACTTGGAAACAAATCCAAATTGGATAATTGACCATTGTTTGAAAAGTGATTGTAGATTTTCGTCGGACAAGTACTCGCTTTTACCGTTCCAATCAAAATATGTCTGTTATATGAATTCGAAAACAATTTATTCAAACAAATCCGACTAAATTGTGGTAGCATTTTTTTGTTAATTTTTTTTCCGCATATTACTATGACTTTTGTTTAAACATTTTTATCCGCAATGAATTTAATAAATAAATGACAATATCAGCCCGCAGAATTCATTGAGAATACCAAATATTTACAAACCGGCACAACTGTCAAACGTTGTGTCAAAACGTGGTCTTATAAAAAAAAAATAAGTGGTTCTGTGTCACGCGTGATCATTTTTCGCTTTCAACTCGACAGAATTGACGCATCACAAAAGTGAGACAAACAACACGAATCTTATCGTACTGCGTTCAATTGCTCGCACAAGTTCACATTTACAATAGGTCAGTTTGCAAACGAGATAGACAGATTTGATTTTCAATTGAGGCTCGAAACTTTTAGACAACAACAGCAACAACAACAACACTGTAATAGTTTGGTTTGCATACGCATACACTGCAAAAAATCCAAAACATTATTTCTATACAAACGTCAATTCTCATACGAATGCCGTCTTTTTCATTTCGTCTGATGTGGCCTTTCGTATCGACACTACCCATCATAAACACCGAACAACACTCACACATTCGCTATGATTCATTTTTTTTTTGAATTACGTATTGGCAAGAAAATAGAATTTCATCTTCAGTCAAAAAAAATTCAGTGATAAAGATAGTCGGCCGTATTTCATTGGGTCTCATATAACTTATATTCAACTATTTATTTTGTTGTGTTTTCTCTTCGACTTCATTTTTCGATCAACAATCGTAATTTATTCTCATATAATTTAGGTTAGAACCAACAATTTGTGGTTTTATTTGTGTTACTAAATATAAACAGAGCTTCCCGAAAAGAGCAAAAATAATACTTTTTTTGTTGTTGCTAAAAGTGTGAAATTTATTTTTTTTTCTTTCAATTTTCATACGGTACTAACATTTGTTGGTATTTGCTTTAATTTTCTTTCTCTCTCTTCATTTTATAGGAAACTAGAAATTGATCAGCGAAAATGAGTTTGGTCTGGACAATAATCGCCACATTTTTGTACGTTGAAATTGCCGTTGTGCTTCTATTGGTATTGCCAATAGCATCACCACAACGATGGAATCGATTCTTCAAGTCACAGTTTCTGGCGATGATAAGTCGACAGGCGAACATCTATTTCGTCTTGTTGTTTGGTATCTTGGTGTTGTTTCTTTTGGAAGCCATCCGTGAGATGCGCAAATATTCACATCATGGTTTGTAACCCAATTCATTTGGCCCGTAATTTTATTTTCTGTCTGTCTAGTTGGCGAGACTAAATGTATTTTTATTTTTTTGTCCCATCCTGCGCGCACATTTTCAATATGACAGAAAACGGCACCGAACACTTGAATGTTGAATTACAGCATAGCATGCGTTTGTTCCGTGCACAGCGTAACTTTTACATTTCGGGCTTTTCGATTTTCTTGACATTGGTCATTCGTCGTTTGGTCATCTTGATTTCGTCACAAGCACAATTGTTAGCACAATCCGAAGCATCGATGCGACAAGCACAAAGTGCAACTACCGCCGCTCGTTCCCTGTTGTCGCAACAGAAATCCGATGACAAATCGGCTGACAGCAAAAAGAGTGACTCAAAACCTGATGAATTGGTAAGTCACATGGTAACACAAATGTTCATGGTTATCTTTTGATGTTGTTATTTTTGTCAACGATTGCAAAATTCCAAAATAACATGTCCACAATCAAAAAATTTTTATCCCGAAGTTTTGCTTGCGATTAACTGTGAATCCCAATTTCCAATCTCATACCAACTGAGCCAATTCAATTGAATGTCACACAAATACGCAATAAATGTGCTAGAAATGCATTCGCATAACTGGACCGATACATTTTAGATGAATTTGCATATCAGAGCCGTTCACGATATGATTTATGTGCATTGGTGTGGCATTTACTTGAATTGAAAAAAAATAAACACAATTCCCCAATGATTGTTTTTCACTGTACTCTGTTGTGTTGGTTTCACATACATCTACATTTTATATTGTATAGCGAGCAAAATTTCGAAATAAAAAGTTTTTTTTTTATACATTTTTATTAACGAAAATTAGTTTTGGTTAAAGATTGGCGAATTGAAGCAGAAAATTTCGGATTTGAACAAAGAATTGGAACGTGAACGAAAAGACAAAGAGGCATTGAAATCACAAGCAACCGGTTTAGAGAAGGAATACGATCGGCTCACCGAAGAGTACAGCAAACTCGAACGTCGATTGACTGTATCGGGCGGTGGCAAAGATGACTAGGCGATCTAACAAATTCTCTCGGTTTTTACCAATCCATTAATTCTCAACACATGAAAAACAACAAAACGTTGAAAAAAAAATAAAATTATTATTAAACTTCCTTTTATTCTTCAAAAATGTTGAACGTATGAAATTGTTAAACGATTAAGCATCATTGGTTCATACTTTTGTACGAAACATATTTCTATCGAGATGGCATTTAAATCAGGGTTTGGTTTCTCTTAAAGATGAGGTTGAATGTTTTCTGTCCAAATATTACACTAATAGAGTAATGAATAAAAATATCAGAAAAAAAAATTCTAAAAATAAAAATCGTCAGGTGTTTTATTTTACACGAGACTGTGTCCGTCATTTGTAATTCAGAATCAAATTATACACATTGCAGCCAAATTGCCGGTGAAATTATTTAAAAATAGCCGGAATAATTCAATTTAGCACGAAATTCATTTACAAAGTCATGTATAGTGTCGTGTGACGTCATCCGAACCACGGTGTTAGACGCGATTTTGTTTACATTTCAGTGTATGACATTTCGTGTTTCTGACAGTTCTTGTGTGAGTTTAGTTCAACAATAGACGTCCGACAAGCGTGTATTGTTTTCGGGAGTAGAACGTAAATATTTCCACATCAAATTGAACAATTTCATCATGAATCGTGGACGCTTTCGTAATAATCGAAACAACCAGTATCGTAACGATAAAAAGGTTGATTTGGCATCGAGTGGTGACGACAATAATCCAGTCGTCAGAAGTTTTCGCGAATATGCGAATGAATTGAATGACAAACATGATCGGTACGAACGCATTGTGAAACACGGCCGTGACATCACGATTGAAAGCAAGCGATTGATATTTCTGTTGCATACAGTGGATATGCGCAAGCCAAATGCCACCAAAATTCTATCCGATGCATACACCCGGCTGAACAATATTTGTATCAACAGTTTTTCAAGCATCGCCAAGGAACTGCACAACTGCGACCCATACCAATATGGTCGCGCATATTCGGCTGGGATACAGGAATTTATCGAAGCGTTCACGTATTATGATTACTTGTTCAACGATCACATCATGAATTGGTCTGATCTACAAGAGCGATTGACGTACATAGTGAAACCGGACGATGGTTCAGATGCTGCCAATGCAGAAACTGCCAACCAAGGGGAAGAACCGAGCACAGAAGGCGTCAGCAACGAAGCCAGCTCTGAAATGACTGCAAAGGAAGAAGAACCAGAAGGTTTGAAGGAAATGACATGCTTGGTTCAGCCAATCGAATTCATGCTCGGCTTGGCCGACTTAAGCGGCGAAATCATGCGGAAATGCATCAATTCACTGGGCAGCGGCGATATTGAAACATGTCGCAAGGCTTGCAACTTTGTACAACATCTTTATTCTGGGTAAGTGACAACATGTCAATATCAATAGTATCCACCGAAATTAAACGTCAATCGATTGTTTCAGATATCTGAGCCTGGGCTCGATTCGCCACAAGGAAATGTCCCGAAAGATGCACGCAATGTATCAAAGTGTGTTGAAAGTCGAAAAGGTGTGCTACAACATCAAAGTTCGCGGCAGCGAAGCGGCCATTTGGAGCTCAAACGATGCCAACGAAAAAGAGCGCGACGATGATGTCGATGAAGGATTCGCCAATTACTAAATCAAGACACATTCTATGCAACGCATCATTTTCCAAATTTATTTCATTTATGAGATATTCTCTCCATTTTTGGCTTACGAAACAATAAAAATATCGCTTACACCTATATATAACGAATTTCACATATAAGTTTCCTTGATAAACTACTTTGACAATGTTTGTTAATTTTCTTCTGAGAACGGGATAATGGTTCATTTTATTTTTGAGTTGATTCTTGCTTATCCATCTACTTATTCATCTGCTTCATCCGATTCCGATGGATCATCATTTAGGAAATCAGCATCTGAATCATCATCGGTTGCGTATGGGTCATCTTCGCTGTCTTGAACATCATTTGTCGCAGTGTTGGTTGTTGTTCGCTTTGGTGTTTTTGCTGTGGCTTCATAACCTTCTTTTCCGGATGAATCTGTTCGCCCTAGAAATAATGAACAAAATGTCATTGGTTCGATCAAAATATTGGAAAAGATCGTGTTCGAAGCATTATGAAAGATTCAATACTAACAGCTGGCCTTGTGGGAGAACTGTGCGAAATGCGCTGGATTACGTCGATAACAGCGATCGAGGTATGGACAAGGAGCTGCACCTAGTGGCGGATCGGGATAGTCTGGCAATCGATAGTCTGCATCACCCGGATGCGCTTCTTGTACACGATGTGCTGGGTTTCGTCTGAAAAAAGTCATAAACTACTGTGAATAACATAGAACGAATGTCTCCATATGCTTGAATTACCTGTAGCAGCGAATACCATATCGGCAACAGGCACGTTGCGGTGGTTGATGTGTATTGCCACTGGACGTTGTTGCACCATCGTCGTTGTTTTCATTGTTGGCTGGTTCTGTTTTCACTTCGGTTGATTCTGTTTTAACCGTAACCGGAGTGGATTCCATCGTGGAATCGATATTTGCCTCTTGGCTCATCGGTTCCGTTTTTATCGTAGGCGTTGGCGTTGGCTGTATTTCATCTGGATCCAGTGGTTCTGGTTTGATTGGTCGATCGACAACTGTGGAATCGTTCTGATCTTGCGGAATGTTTGATGCACTGGTTGATGGCATTTCATTGGTTGTATCGGTAGGTAGTGTTGTATCTAGATCACCGTTACTCAAACCATTCACATCATTGGCTACTTCGTTTATAGCGACATCATCTTGAAATTCATTTGGTTCAGTCTTCACTTTTTTGTTCGTGGAATCGGGCTCAGAATCGGAGCTCGATCGACGCTTTGTACCACTTGATGACGGTGCAATCGATTGTGTTATATTTGCATGCAATCCACCGATGACGTCATTCCCTTTGTCTGACGGCTGAATCGAAAACCAAAACTCGTCCACCAACAAACCAAATGAGTCGCCAACAAATAAATTCACTTCATTGTTCTGTTCGATTTGATTAACTTCGATGTTGTTTTTCTTTCGAAAAAACATCGAGTTCTGATGCGTCTACAAAATTGAAAAAAAAAAACAAAATGTATTCGTTTTATTCTGATATAGAATTTTTCATCTTACCGAAAGCACCGCAACCGAATTTGACGAGATCACTTTGAGAACACCATGATTCCGCGAAATGCGTTTGTCATTGCACTGGAAGAAAAGAAAAGTTTTTTTTCTCAGTAGATTTTCTTGGGAAAACAGCGATTTTTATCTGTTGTGAAATTCCGTTGTTTGTTGTTTTCTACAGTTAAAACTTACATTGAGCCAGCCGCGACCAATTACACTTTCCGATGAATTCAAGCAATGTTTCTCATTGCTCGCGACATTCACCAACGATATCGATGGCACAACGCTCATTTTTCGACACAATTTCCAATAAATCTAATTCAATTGAAAATGATGTGTTTTGAATGTCGCGCAAACGATTTGCTTACTTCAAAATGAATACCGATTTGAAGCGCAATAATGGCATGAAATATGCTAGTGTCGGATTTTTTTGACAGCTTGTACTTGACAGTTCCTCTCTCAGTTCCTCTGAAATACACAAACTGGTTCGCGCTCAATTTTCTACACTCCAAACTATAGGCGATTTGAAAGCGATTTGAAAGCGGTTTTTCGTCGATTTTATTTCATTTTATAGTCTGAATTCCAAATCGCTCTCTCACATATATTTCACAGTTAAACTCAGTTTTAATTGTTTGCTCTGAAGGCTGAGTACATTTCGCCGTGACTGCTATCTTCTTGTTTGTATTGAGTACGGTTCACACGTGCATTGATGCAATCGTTTTTATTCGTTAAAATTACATTGGTTTAAATCATTTTTGCGGCGAGTGCGACAAATTTGTGGTGGACTTATTGCCATTCTTTCATGTTTGAACTAAACAAATTCAATATTGAACCAACGTTATTGATACTCTCTTAATGGGCATCTGAATACAAGATTCAGATGAAATTCACCACATAATTCAATCGGCGAGAGCAAATGTTCTTCACTATTAACATACTACAGGGTGGCTGACATGAACTGCAAAAAACTAAAAAGCTATAACTTTTTTATTTGTGAACATTTTTATTGATTCCAAAGGCAAAAGTTATCGGGAAATAGGCAAAATTTAAGAATCCATCAATCAATTTCAATATGGTCTCCTTCATATGACCTGGCTGGCAAGTAGACTCTATCATTTTGTTTGTTTACATGTTGCTCGATTGAAATTGGCATCTCATCAGAGAACACGATGTTCGGAATCTGGCCACGTTCGTGCAAGCGAAGCAATTCCTTCGCTCTTTCCACTCTAGTTTTTTTTTGATCGGTTGTAAGATCGTGCCGTTTTTGGAATTTTAAGGGTTTGAGTTCAAGTTTGTTTTTGACTATGTGTTGCATCCGTTCTCTCGAAATATTCAGCTCAGCAGCCATTTTTCTTCCGCTGCGGCGTGGATTTCGCTCAATTCGAGCCTTCACTTTCCGAGCCATTTCTGGCGAAGTGGCAGTTCTTTTCGGACCACCTCCATAGCGTTTTGCAATGCTGCCAGTATTGTTGTAACGAGCTATGGTTCGAGACACAAAGGATGGAGTCACTTTAAGGTGGTGCAGTTGTCTAACGATAGCAGCTTGTGCCTTTCCAGCCAAATAAAGTGCAATCACACTATTACGTTTGAATTCCATCACGGAAAAATTTGTTCAGACAAAACTAAGACGTAAATGCTTCTGCAGTCTTGTAAACAATAGAATGAACAGTCAACAGACGAATTTTGACAAAGCTGTCATCAGCGGATCGTCAGATATACTGCCCTGAAATTTGTTGCAGTTCATGTCAGCCACCCTGTACTAAATCATATTTAGAAAATAAAAATGGTAAAAAAAACAAATCAAATTTCTATATACTTTCATTTGTTTTAAATTTTTTTTTAACGAAAATTTCAGAATTTTCTCCAACCGGTTGCAAAATAATCGAGGCCAACTTCATGCAGTTTTATCATCAATCAGCAGATTTGTATTGCGTCGCTTTAGCATTAACAAAACAAACAACGAACTGTCGAATTCGGTAGGAATTTCCCCTTTTTTCATTGAAAATTGCTTTTAATCTTCGTTTATTCATCCGTTCATGGCAGCAAAATCTAATTTTGTGTAAAAATTGATCACATTCAGAAGTGCTGAAACATCAAGCATCAGAATAAGCGAACACCAGATGAATTACAACATGAATCGTAATCCAAACAATGCAGTTGAGCACAATCAAATGGAAGTGGGCGATGATGGTTCCAATGCCATGAATTCTTCATCTTCTTCTGTGGTCAATGTCAAAGAAGCAAATCAACAGCGCGCACCGAATGTTCCAAAGCATCCACCACTCTTTGAATGCGACATCGATTGTTTCCAAGAAATCTTCGAATGGCTCACATTCACCCGGCAATATTCTGTCAATTTTTCTATGTAAAACATTGAGTGTGAAATAGTAGAGCGCCACTACTGGAGAACGGCAGAATGCGAAAGAAAAAATTTCAAATTTGTTCGCGCTCAAATTCATTCCGTCATATTCATTTTTGTTTTGATGTCGAAACAGTGAAAAAAATAAAAAAAATAAATTTGAAATAAAATAAAATACAATTTAAATTAAATCCGCACATATTTTACATGTTTTGCTGTTTGTCGTATGATTTCGCAATAATCCATAATGGTGACGAAATATTATGAAATATTGCGAAATCATATGACAAACAACAAAACATGTAAAATATGTGCGGACTTATCTGCATGGAACAGAGAACGTGAAAAATTGGCGGGTGCACGGAAGGTGACAGTTTACGTCGAAGAGTATGATTTTCTGGCAGCTAAGTGGTCAAATAAAACGATCAACTTGAAATAGACGGGCTGATTCGTACGAATGGAGCAAATATATACAATAAACATCATTCGCTGAAAACTCGAAAAATGATCAGAATAAAAAAATTCCAGAATGGTTCAACTGAAAATGGTCTATTCGTCAACAAAATTCAAAATTATTCTTGCTTTAAATAAAAGTCTGGATTTCATAATAATTTATAAATCATTTTAATTTTTATTAAAAAAAATATTTACTAAAACAATTCGTTTTGACTACGATTTTTAAATTTGACACAAGCCCATTCGACTGGTACACGACGAATCAGTCCTTTGGGTGAGTACAGCAATGGTTTCTCTGTGTACGGTATATGCCATTGTTTGCTGTCTTCGGTTTTTCGCGCATTGTGATGGAATTTCTTGGGTGAATATATGTGGGTCGAGTCTGTTTTATAATCATATGATATGAAATGCTGATGTTGCTTCTGCCAATTTTTGAACAGCTTTTTACCATTATCACTGAGCTCTTGCATGTGATCCGTAAGCATATCGTTCGTTACGAAATGTGCATTAGGCCCCGATACCAAGGCTCCATACATCATGAATACGTCATCGACTGCTTCTTTGTGATTGGATAGAAACACGGTGGTATTTTTTCGAATAAAATTCACCGCTGACTCTGGCCAAGTTTCTACATGCTTTTTCCCAACGATAAGCACCTTTTTGTTTTGCATTCTGAGTTGCTCTACGATTTGCGTCAGTAATTTCCCCTGTTTGAAAATATTCCCTTTGCTATCTGGAAAATTTCTGGTCACATTCAGTGAATCGATAACATAATCGTAAGATTGTTTCTTATTGACAATTTGCCGAAAGAGACCCAACTGAACGGATGGAATCCGTGGCTTTAATATCAGTTGTTCGAATTCCCTTTTCAGTGTCTCGAATTCCAGTAGTGATTGCAACAGTGACGGCATTTGATGCTCACAATTTTGGCAAATGCCAATATTGCTCAATTCCGTTCGAACAGCTGATCCACCGAACTTTTTAATTTTATGGTTCAAAGTTTTAATCACGGTTTTCGATACAATCACATCATTTTTGCCGATGAATTCGAGCATTTTTTCCAAATTTTCTACAAACGTTGCTCGGTCCATCGAGCAATAATCCAAGTATGCTTGAAATGTTTCGCAATTTGGTTGAAAATCCTCTCTGTTGATTTTGTTTAACATTTCCCAGCCCAACGCGGTGTCTGCGTCCCAGAATGCTTGTGCTGTTAAATTGTTGAACACTTGAACTGATGAGCGATTACACTTCAATCCTTGGTTTTTCACCAGATCAAGAACATTCCTCCAGTCTCGTGACTTTGATAACACCTCCAGCTCTTTCAAGAAATTCGCATCATCAGACGGCCCCTTTCTTGACTTTGACAATTTTGAGAATCTCTCGTTGGAGAAATGCTTCACGAATTTATACTGCAAATTGATGCAACCCACTAATTTCGATCTAAAACCAACAGAAAACATTTTTGTTCCCCTGTGTTTACAAACTAAATGTACTGCCGGCAAAATTTGACTCTATTTCACCCATGTGTTCAGTACTCTTTGAAATGTCACAAGAAATCAAAATATTGACGATGTTGACCACCAAACGCCATCTGTTAACCAAACTGAAACCAACTTCTCGACGAGCATTACGTACATCTGTATGGAACTGTAAACCAAAAAGAAATCAACAATGCAATAACAACAATGGGAAAAAAAACTCTGTTCAAATGAAAATTCCTGTATATTTCAGATTTACAATCGATTTAGAAACAAATATCAAAGTCTTAATTATTAACAGCAACTTTCTTAAAAACAATTTGCGTAACAACATTGCCAACTGATCCGCCAAACTTGAACGATGGTGTTGGTATTATTTTGAACAGTTCAAATTTTCCGGTTAGGCTGGTGCATAGCTCAGACTCCGTCCAATTGCACGATGTTAATATCAACAAACCGGAGTCTGACGTTAAATTGTACAGGCTTTGAATGTATTTTTGGCGCATTTCAGCCGGATTTTCTGGATGAATGCTAATCGCATCGTATGTGCCTTTGTCATGAACGATGTCGAATTTTTTGTCGCCAAATTTCTGTGCTATCTCATCGGTGTTCAGTAAATCGAGCACTTTATAAGTAATTTCCATATCTTGATCGGCTGCAATTTGTTTTGCCAATTCAATGGCATTTTCGGAATAGTCGACACCGGTTAGATTTTTGTATCCTTCACGATACAGCTCGACCAACATCATGCCATTGCCTGAACCTTAAAATATATGACAAAACACGAACGTTAGTACTTTGATGATACTAATGAGCACAACTTCAATTTACCTAAATCTATAAATTCACTCTCTTCTGCAATGTCATTCTTCAGCATCCAGTTAATCACACGAATTTGACTGTCTTCATCAAACCAAACCTCACCAACATCACCGTGCGATTTGTAGTTTTTGATTTCAGTATCATAGCTTTTATCCCAGTAATCTTTTGTACCCAACTCCGAACCATCCAATTCCTGTATTTCACTGCCTGACATTTTGTCTGTCTTTTGATGGATGCAATTTATTTATTCACTGCCAACAACTATTCTTTGCTTTGGACACAATAACATTAAAACCGCTTTGGACACATTAACATTTTTCGAAGCAGTTTGACACATGTCAGAATTGGTTTTACATACATTGGTGTGAGTGAATTTGCTTACGACATCTGTAATCAAAAGGTTGAAATCCTTTCCATCGAATTTTGGTTCATTTTAATGAAATATTTTCTTCAAATTTGTTTCTTCTGGATTTATTTGCTAATATTTTTTACTAATATTAAAGAAAAAAAACGATGGATATTTGTTCAATTTTGCTACCTCCAAATTCTTATTCAAAGCCGGTCGAAATTGAAAAGCATTTCGATTGATGTCGCCACCAGTATTGCTTAGCTTGACATTTCGACTGAACAACTTAGTTTATATTCTTCATGCAAAGAGTCTGGTTCTGAGTCTACTTTTGTGTTGTTTATAGCAATAGTTTGGTTTATTGAAGCTGAAAAAAAATGGCACAGCAGCGAAATCATCCGCAATCCAAAGAGGTTCTCTTGAAATCCTACAACATTCGCTTAAAGGAGGACTGCAAAATTATGTTGGAAAATTATTTCGGTTGGTAGTAAACACATAAAGAGCCGGAAAGTGCGGTAGGCAATTTAATCATAATCTTTTGTTTTGTTTTCACAGAAATCATAAAATTGGCCAAAGGAGAAAATGATTCACAACTCTCTAAGCTTACGCAATGCGAACAGGATACGTACGAGATGCAAGTTCGTGCTGCGAATATCGGTAAGCCCATTTGAAACATATTTGATATCGGTGCAAAATTGTTGATAGTCATTGTTCTATTCCAAACTAGTTCGAGCCGGTGAATCGCTAATGAAACTCGTGTCCGATATCAAACAGTATTTGATTTTGAATGATTTCCATTCGGTGAATGATGCCATAACAGCCAATTCACAGCTCTTTCGATCAACCCAGTCGGAATGTGATAAAAAACTGATGAACTTACGTGAAGCAGCTGCCATCGACTTGTACGACCTGGAAGAAGAGTACTACACAAGCGAGTTTAAATGAACACTTGCAAATAAATTGGATAACTAGTTGTTACTATAAATAAGACTAAATTTAAGGAAGAAAATTATGAAGAACGGAAGAAATAAATTAAGAGAAGAAAAGGATAAAATTTCATCAATGCAAATTACATGCAGACTAATGTTTTTAGGGTTTATTTTTACTAGATGCATACCGGATAACAGACTTCTGTTTTATTTTATCGTTCGAGGAAGTATATTTGGAGACACAATTTTAACTCGTATCGTGATGTGCGATGTCAGTAATGAAGGTTTGTATTTATTTATTTATGACGAATTCTCACGAAACATGGTCAAACGTGTGAACTATTCCACAATATATTCATAAATACTGAGTCTAGATCATTATTCATTTTTTATTCTTCTTTTTACAATACAATCACTGCTATTTTTAATTTTATTTATCGGTTTTATTAGTAAATTACTTTTGTACTCAATATCAATATCACATCTCAAATCTTTGTTAAATATTTTATAGAAAATGGTGTTTGATTTCGGGTCAGTTTTGTCAACGCAGTGCGCTCCTTATAAAAGGAAAACTCCTTCGAAAGAAATTTTACATTTATTTCGTTGAATTCTTCTTGAAATAGTCAAACAAATTATTTACGAAATATTATTTCTGTAAATTGTTCTTCAAGCTTGAATTGGTTTTTTGTTCTTACCACAAGAAAATAAATAATTATTTAAATAGAATCAGTTACACATAGAACCGATGAAACTTTGTAATTTAATTGTTCATTTGTATTTACTTTATCGCAGTTCTTGTTGACTTCACGGGTTGATGTGCAACACACATCGTTGTACGATAACTTTTCGCAACAAAGATCCATTCAAGCATGTTAAGTACCGTTTATCCTAAACATGATGGCAAGCTTACATGTTTGTTTTTACAATTTTATGGAAAGAAAGAGGATATTATTAATGATTTTGACTTCATTCGTACTTACTACTTGTGATTGATTTTGACATATTTTTCAACATTTTAAATGTTATATTTAATCAGTAATTTCTTTTCTGTTTTTTATTGGTATTGATTTTGGATTTATTCTCACCTTCGACCATATTGGCTCTTCAATATCGTCTAATAATTCATATTCAATCACATAAATTATCTGCATTGTTACCCCTGCTAACATATACTGGATTAGAAGAGAGTGATTAATTTATTGTTTGTTTAATAAATTAAAAGAAAAAAAACTAGATTTTCCTCGACTTTTATGTTTTTTCAATACCATCAACGGAAATGGAAATGAAGACCAGAGTAAAATTATTGAAAGAAACAAAAATGCTTTCATCATTTTCGTTCCAGAATCGATCAATGAAAATGCAACGATTTTCTTCCATTCTGATTTCCAATTGATTTCCCTTCGTTATTTTAACTTAAATAAATTCAATGGATAATACTGACCAGGTGGAAAGGCAGGCTAACTATAAAGCATGTTAGTCCCAACACCGTCTTACAGTGCACATCACCCACGATTGTCAATGTAATAATTTTTAGGCACGTCCAATATGATAACTGTTGCCCGTTGTTGAATTTTAATGGATCACCAGCAAATAGTCAAAGGGAGTAGAGTGCATCACACAGAACGAAAAGAACACAACAATCGAGACGATGATTTTCAATTGAATTTGGAAATTTTTTTGTAATTCTAGTTTACAATACAATACTTACTCGTATAAAGAAGAAAACCAGAAAAATGTTATTTAATGCGAAATCTATTCGCTGTGTGATACTTTCGTTGAATGGCACACACCTCTCAACATATTTTTTCGTCGTTATTGTATCGATCAAATATATAATGAACGATGCAACATTTAATATGAAAACGAGCACCAACTGAAATGAAAAAAAAATCCATAATTTCTGTTATTACCATTGAAGAATATTCTCTGATATTTAAGGAAGCGGACAAAAGACTAATCATCTCTGAAATAGGTCTGTCTCATTTTCAAATTGCGTGTAATTGCATATGATACACGTGTCTTTGAGCTCATCACGTTTCTTTGAAACATCCAAATTGTATGCAAACACGATTTCTAGCTTGAAAAATATTTTTAAAAGTAGGAATACTCAAGTTAAACGCAAATGTAGTTCGCACTAAATTCCGAACGATTTCGAAACACACTTTTTGACAATAAAACACTGATGCTGCTTGTTTTTTGGTCGAAAGATGGTCGTTATATTCTTGTGAAAAGGCTATACGTAACATCTTTGTTATTACAAATGATAAGCGTGTAGCGAAATTACACTTGCCACTAATTTTCGATGAAAAATACAGAACTTTAATTAGTAGTATTTACACATTTCCAGATATTTTTACGTTGAAACATGTGAACTATGTGGTTTTTGTATTACATTTTAATTTTCATCGATTTTTGGCCTTTAAATATTATTGCTGGCACATCAACTCTTCACTTTAGTTTCAGTATTAGCTTGGAATTTGAAAAAATGCATAAATAACTACCAAAATTCTGCCGGATTTTGTGGTGTTTATTTTGGCATGGATATGGAAGAAAGTTTTGAGCCAGCCAAATTCCTGATTTATTTGCACATCATCTTCCTGGTCCTCCTCCGGTTCCTCTTCATTTTCCGACAGTTCTGGCTTATGACAGAAGAAAAAAGCAAAAATTCGCCATAGCAGAACGATCAGAATTCCAGTCGAGAATGAGATGAGGCTCGACAGCAGAAACATCCACCATTTTCGTTCATTCAAACATATTTCCTCTGCGCTTAGATATGAAATATTAGCTACATTTGTCACATTTGCTGCGTATTTTGTTTTCAAATTTTAAAATACATGAAAAAGAAGAGAATAGAATTCATACGATATGTATTAAAGAAGTTTTTTTTATCGATTTTAATAAATTCAAGCCTCGATTTGAACGCAAAATTAATCATAATTCATACGGAGTTTTGAACTTATTCGAATCAAATAAAATTTCGAGGCGCACTCGAGATAGAGGGAAAACGCTTCCTTATTTTTACCTATTGTGGTTGAATTAAGTGATATGTGTGACATTAAGTAATGTGTGAGTAATGTGTGTGACATTTCCTATTCAGGCTTATGGTACAGGAAGCAGTCGAATTTATTTTCTCGATCAAAAGAGAAAATTGAATAAAAAGAAAATTGTGCGTTTTCTGTAGTTTTCTTCTCTTTGCCGTTGGTTTTTTATTGATATCTTTTAGAGACTGCTGTTGAACATAGTTATCCCAATTTCTTTGAGCATATTTTCTTCTGTGTACATTTGCTAGTATTTTTGTGGTATGCAAAGCTGTATATTAGTCGTAACAAGTTGACGTTACGAAACGGTAATACTCTAGTTTTGGCAAATGTTTTACTGTTTTATTTAACACACGCTGAACTAGCTTTAATGCTGCAATACATTGATGCAAATATGCCGATAACAACAGGAAGTATGCTGTGGCATGTGGTAATCCGAATCAAAACAAAACGTTACTAATTCACAGGCAAACACACACATACACGAATCAACGACGAAAGTAAAAGTGCTCGAGGTCCCTATACACTTTCACTTGGATCTATGTTCCAATTTAATGAATGATTTTCGGCACTTTTTTTTCTTCGTTGCTTCTTTCGAAGTTTTCCCTTTTCATTGATTGAGATATTTGTTTCGGGAATTTCACACTTTGGAAACTTTGGAAAAATTCGGGACGTTTTAAACATTATTCATGTTTTTATTGGATGTATAACGAGCTGAAGAGCGATACACACTTTTGCGAACCATCTACTGTCAAAACGAATACAATTCATGGGAATGTATACAGAATAGAGTATCTCCATTGCGATGGCGCATGAATAAGAAAAGATGCATTTAGACTCACAACATGTGTACGTGTGTAGTTGTGTGTAGTTGTGTGTAGTTGTGTGTGTGTGTGTGTGTGTTTTGTTTTGTTTTCATAGATTTGCACACCTTTCGTCCTTTAAGCAGAATTTATTCCATTTTTCGTATCATCTGTTCAATAATAAATATTCTTCATTTATTTTATTCTGTTATTTATTTTTCCACGATGAATTCTTGTAAGAATAAACCGATTGTAAAAACTATTTCACAATAAATGTACTTGAATGTCTAATTACATCAAATCCTTGAGAATCCTGTGTGTCATTTCAATCACTAATCAATAATGTGTATTCAAAAAAATGAACCGATTTAAAGGAGGTAGTTCGATCATACTTAGATACTCAATGTTATGGATGTTTCATTCAGAATTGTTGAATGCAATTATTCATTGTAGTGGTGTTGAAGGCCAACACTATGTGCCAATTAAATCTATGGGACCAGGCGCAACTTTCGTGGAATATAAACTATTTGTCAATTGAGTTTTAAGGGGTGAAAAATGCATCGAAAGTGTTGGGGATGAAATTTTTTAACATTCGAAGGCGAATTTAAAGTATACACCCAACACGAGTTCACCATGGTCAGATTTAATATTGAGAGCCGCTTAAGTGACTCCATAGTTCAATAATCTTCGATCGTTTGCCGATAACAGAGGAAAACATATGCACGTGTTAACGACGTTTGAATTCCAAGATTATTAAACGTCTGTTCTAAGTCATTCCACCAAAATCGTTCGGATTTTTTTTTCCGTACATAAGACCATATTGGAGTGAAAGAGAGAGATTCCACTATTTTTCAGCGTTCCACCGGAATTATTTCTCACACATTCCACTCTTCCTAAAGTTATCGGAATAATTCCGGTGGAACGCTGAAAAATAGTGGAATCTCTCTCTTTCACTCCAATATGGTCTTATGTACGAAAAAAAAAAATCCGAACGATTTTGGTGGAATGACTTAGAATTCCAGCCCCGAATACGACACGACAACACATGGAATCATATATTCAAGCATATTAATAAATTCAACTTCTGGAAGTCTTCATCTCCCCTCAATAGCGTTCTCGTGCATTATCATTATGTAGAATTGTGAATCATGAAATTGCAGACAAAATTTTGAGACCGAGCTTACCTGTTGTGATTGAATCAAGTAGAAATATCCTTAATTAACGACCAATATGCGATCTTTCTGTATGTTCTGTGACATTTTTCATTCACTTCCACCGCGCAAAGTAAACAAATACAATAAAAGAAGAACGTGAAGTATGAACAATGGATTTTTAGACTGAAGCTCTTCAAGTTGAATTTTTTCGTACAGAATCAAAGAAATTAGCATAAGGCGATAGCTCGAATGAAAATGCGGCAGAAAAAATCAGCAAAAGCCTTTAATGTTTCAAACGCTTCGGATGGATGGCGCTGTCAGAAGCTCTCTGAAGCACAATAGAAGTGGTGAATGTGATTATGACAAATCATATTTGTGTTTACGTTTAGAAACGTTGACTGTCAAAGTAGAGAATGTTATGTTAATATAAACCAAAATGCCAACATGGCGGGCCAAAATGCTGTCATGGCGGATATCTTTCTCATTAAACTATACATGAAAATATCTCGAAAACGGCTGGGAAAATCGGCAAAATGGACCGTGGTGTCACTCCCTAAAGGGAGTGTAGACACCCGGCTGGTTTGATGGCCCAAAGTTCAAATCCCGTGGATTTGAGCTCATCCATGGGTTCTCGGGATTTGGCCTGATCCCAGCACTTGCCCTGTGGTGAAATTCCATACAAAACATGAGTGTGACTTGTAAAGATGCTCACAGGAAAGGAAAAGCTGGGAATCAGACCAAATCCTGAGAGCCCATGGATCAGCCCGAATCCACTGGATTTGAGCTTTGGGCCATCAAACCAGCTGAGTGTCTACACTCTCTTTAGGGAGTGACACCACGGTCCATTTTGCCGATTTTCCCAGCCGTTTTCGAGATATTTCGATGTGTAAATATTTATTGGTTTTAATTTACCACTTAAGAGGTGAGTTTGGATAAATTAGCAGAAAAGCGTATTAAAGTTCGAAATATTCCATCATTCTAATATATTTTCACTAGAGGCGCTCTTACAAAAATCCATCCATTCAGCCTCCATAAGAAGCAATGTATTGCTATCGGATTACGGAAATTTGTATTATCTACAATGAAAGTTGTTCATAGGTAGATGATATCACTAGTTGCTCATGGCAGTTTCAAGCCTATTTAACTAAATTATGTAAAATGCTTGTTTTTGCTTCAGATTCAAAAAATCACTTTTGCATCTACACTTCGTTATGCTTCATGGTATGTTGATATGCCTAATTTTATTTTTGTAATCGAGTAACGATAAAATTCTCCACCTGAAAAGTCTGAATCAAAACATTTTCACCCATACATTCACAACTTACTAACGCAGTGATAAAAAAAAAACTGATAATCTTACGTGAAGCAGCCGCCATCGACTTGTACGACTTAGAAGAGGAGTACTACACAAGCGCGTTAAAATAAGTTGGATAACTAGTTGTTACTGTAAATAAAGCCTCGTTGTGAGAAAGAACAGAAACAGAAACCGAAACAGAAACAGAATCCTGTGAATTTTCTGTCGTTGGCAACAGACAGAAATGACAAAAAGTTTCATTAAAGTGTCATTGGCGCCATATTTTTGTTGTCATCACACTTACTTTCCATTGTGTTCATTTGTGTTTTGTATATTGGTTGAAAAAATAAAAGAAAAATTCCGAAAAAAGTGAAATTCAATGCGGATGACGAGGAAAAGATCATCGATTTCATCAAATCAAACGAAATTTTATACAATGTGAGGCACAAAAAATTTCGCGACACCGAAAGCAAAAATCGTTTATGGTTGACATTAGCAAGTGATTTGGGCATGGAAGGTTTGTATTTTCCATTAATGTATTTGACACATCATTGATTTATTTATCATTAATTGAATTGTATGGATCTAGTTGAAGCGGTGAAAAAGAAATGGGTAACGATGCGAGATTATTTCGTTCGTACAAAAGAGAAGAAAACAACCCGTTCTGCGGCATCAACAACATCAAAACGAGATGAATCGCTTTCGTTTTTGCTTCAAACATCCACTTTAAAGAGAGCGTAAGTTTTAATGTCTCATTTTTTTTACTCGAATCGTTCAAAATATATTATGTTTTCAGAACGATTTCATCATTGCCATCAAGCAGCACACAATCCGACACACAATCACTAGTTGACGAAGATGTTCTTATCACCAAGAAAACAGAACCAGTATCCGATAATATGTCAAACGCTGACGCAACATCGTTTGCAGGGTCGAACTCAGAATCTTACCTCAGCCGGGATGGTTCACCTGCTCCTTTTTCGGAAACACCAGTGTCGAAAAAACGAAAGGCTCTGCAAATGGAAACGAATGGAATTTTGCATGAATTTTCGGCCCAACGTCCAAAACCATCTGATTTCATGCCACAAAAACCAGCTGATGATATCCAACAATTCTTCGATTTGATGGCATCAACAGTTCGCAAGTTTTCGCCGCTGTCAATTGCTCGACTCAAACTAAAAATTGCTCAAATCATCGGTGAAGAAGAAATTGCTTAGGCCACAACAAGGCTTAAGACTTATAAATGTAAATCATATACAGGTTAATAAATGTTTAAGACTTCACTTCTACTAGACTCACCGGATAGCCAATTTCTGTTTCTAAATTGTATCTTGCGTCTTTAAAATCAACACTGGAACCAAGGCAATTCGATGTTTTGAATAAAAACTGCGTACCAGACTTTTTTTTGTTGTTTTTATCAATTTTATTTTGATTTTTCCTCTTAAATTTTATTAAATTTGTAATTAATTAAGACAGAATGAACGTTAAGTTTTACACTGAAGACAAAATGTATGTCTCTCTCACACACACACATGAAAAAATTTGAAGGAAATTATGTTGGCCTTTTCTTTTCATCAAGGAGGAAGGGGGGAAGAACTCTTATGGTTTACGAATAATTCTTTTTAAAATTTACTCCCATGCTAATTCTGTTTTTTTTGCGTATTCTGTTTGTGTTGTTATTTCCATAAAATAATCGATTTACTTTTGCAATGTCTATTTGCTGTAATTGATGATTGATGTGATTAATTGATTTAGTTTCCCATTCTGCTGATATTTTTCCTATGTATAAAATGAAAATAGAGTTCAACATTCGAAACGAAATTGGGAGTCGTGTGGTATATTTCGACCATCCACACATTTGTGTGGAATTCACAATCGTTACCTCAATCGCAATGCATGTTAGCTAAACGCGTTGAATAATCGGCGTGTTCGATAAGCGCTTGTTCGAATAGCTTCTCAATTAGTTTAAATTGAATTGTGAGCCTAATCCCCCGAGGAGTAATTTAATGGAAAATGGTATGCTCGTTTAAAGGTGCCACATAATTTTGGGCAATGATAATAATGTTGCCGATTGATCGATGAGATTCGGTTGAATGTGAATTATTGGTTGTATGGCCATTTGGAATAGAGGAGCGCAAAAGTGTTCGTTCGTTTGTTTTTTTTTTTCATCTATGATTTGTGGTGGTGTGTGTTTTCATTTTCATCATTTTCAAATATGTTTCGGAATTTAATGTAATTCGGTATGAGCTATCGCTTAGAGATATATGAAAATAGTATTGAAATTCTGCATACACGCACACACATATGCGGTGTTGCTCTTTTCATATGTTATGTTTTGATGGACACAAGTTTTATAATATATAACAACGGTATGCACTAATTTATGCGTTATAAATTAAATGTTGATGATGCTTGTTTGTTTAATGTCTAAGTATGGTGTGGGTGTGTGTGTGTGTGTCTCTATTCGCAAAACCGTGGATATTTTTTTGTCTTTTGTTTCTCTTTCTGTTTCATTTTGATACTGGGTCAGAACTAACGTGTTGATTTGCTTCATTTCGTTGTTGGGAAACAATAAAACAAAAGTATGAAACAGATTGTGTTGTTATTGTTATTTGCCATTACTATTGGATTTATCTTACTGTTATACAATTATTTAATCAATTGAAAACATTCAAGATTTTACACAAAAAAAATAGGAGGAATACAGATAATATTAAAAACAAAGAATGGTGTTCATTGCATTAGATTTATGTAATATTGTGTTGATTCATGTCGATGGATTAGAAACCAAAACCAAGTGTTCCATATGAGGATGGGACCCACTAGTAACTATCATTAACCTTGACAAAAATTACATTAGGCATAAAGGATGTGGTTTATTTTATTTTAATTTTTTCTTTCTTCATTATATCGTATCCATTATTGGAATTTGCGTGCAGAAGATGATAAAAAAATCAAACAATGGAAGAACGATAAATCGAATAAAAGTTGGGTATCTTTTCATTGACCGTGTTTGCTTATTTGGATTTTATTTTTCTATTTCGAAAATTCGCTGCGTCCAAATATTTGATTTCTTTTGTTTTTTCAATATGTATATACGAGAGATGTGAGATAGTGAAGAGGAGGAGGAGGAGGAATTCTTTTTTTTTTCTTTTTTTGATGTGTTGTCATTGTGAATGGTTGGAATAATTCCGTTTTCTTTTTGTGTCGGGTAATATGCAATGTATTTATCCTTTTAATATAGTAATATAATCTAAACTATTGGATAAAATTGTATGCTTACTCATACATATTTAATCTTAATTAGTATTTTTTTTTGCCATTTCATTTTATTTATTGTAGGTTTTTTCTTCTGTTTTGTTTAAACTTCAACGTTTAATTAGTTTATACTAAAAAAAACTGAAAAGAGAATGAAAATGATGATCATGTCACCGAAATTAACTGACTCATCATCAAACATTTATTACTTCTTTGTTTTGTGTCGTGAATTGTTTCTTCTTCTTTAATTTGTTGTTTACTGTTCCTTTCGTTCTTTCGGTCTTTTTTTTTTTAGATAATCGCATCGAATAATTTCTCATTATGATCAACTGAAACGATGATTTATATTATTATTTTGTGTTTTTCGAACGTCATTTCTACAAATTGGAATTGGCTGATGATTCATTGTTTTATCATTGTTATTTGATTTGATTAGTTTGGCATTAAAGGATATTTCGATAAATTTACTGCTTTTGTTGTTGTTCTTGTAAATGAGTTGCCTATATGTGTGTGTGTGTGGTGATTGAAACTAATTTTACGTGCATTTTCCATTTCTATGAGTGAATGTTAAAATTTTTTCTGTTTACTTTTGAAGATTTCACGATTTTTTTCTTTATTTTACGTTTTGTTTCAGCTTTAAAACAATTTACACACAATTTTTTGGGAAATATGCCAACTGAAACGCCAAACGAATGGGGGGGAGAACGGATTACAATCATTTCATTTTTTTTCATATGTATACATATATATAAAAACAACCCAAATAATTTGTTCAAATTGTAATTCAGTGTCTGAATCTACAAAAATTTATTGTATTTTTTTTATTCACTTTTGTTTTTTTTTTCAACAGACGCCTCCAATAATGGAAAAAAAATCTGCTTCGAAAAAAAAAGATCAATATGTGTGTGATCAATCAATGGGGTATTGCCCATACAAAAAAAAAACTGAACTCTTTTGAAGGAGGGTGCGATAGTTCGATTATACTTGGCTAGTTAGTGTTACGGAAGCTTTATTTAAAAACAATTGCTGAATGCAATTTTTCATCGTAGTATTCTTGTTGCTGTAGTTGGTTGTTGTTGTATTTTATTTTTATCTGCAATTTTGTCGCGCGATTTAATCAATACCTATTATGTAAAATTGCTGGTGTTTCTTGAAAACTGAAACGGATTATTTACGGAATATAATTTTTGTGGATTATTCTCCAATGTCGAGTTGATTTTTTTGTTCTTGTTGTTGTTGTTGTTGAATTTTCATTTTTTGTTTGTGACGATTGAATTGTTGATTCAATGGTGTGGCTGTTGCCGAGCGCTTAAGCATGGCTCTTTCGTCCATCTATGATAGAAGAAAATAAAAAATTGCATAAAAATAAAATCAGTGATATTGTCCGAAAGTGAGAAAAATTCGGTCAATTGTGTATAAATGTCTGTGTTGTGCTTACTTTTGTCTTGTTTTTTCTGTTTTTTGTCCTTGTTACAGTTTTTGGTGATGTCGCGGGTTGGTTTGCAAGACGCATCGCTGCCAGCACGTACATTATCTTTTCGCGACATGGATCCATTCACGCATTTTGACCATTCACCCTTATCGTAACGGCAAGCTATACATATTGTGTTAATGTGGTTCGACCAAAACGAGCAAGGAAGAGAAAAAAGCAACGAAAAATAAAAAGAACAAACACATTGTATCATCAACATTCATTTGACATGAATTTCACACCATAAACGGTGTGTATATGTATGCTATATATGCTATGTGCGATTGTTGTCTCTCTATTCCAGCATGAGCGTCAACAGCTCTGTTGGTTGGGCCCCATAAAAACCATTTTTTCCCATTCATATCATTGTTATTTGCTCATTGTTTGGAAATAATTCGATGATTTTTTTTCGAGCCTTTAGCGTTTTGTACAATAGGTAGAAGCGCAAAATATCCGATAGTTTTAATACGCACAAAACATATTATAAAATGGCCTGAAAGAGCGTAAGAGATAACATATTTCCAGGAGAACAAGAAAAAATACCACCGAATTTACAGCGAGAGAGAATTTACAGAGAAAAAAAAACACATTATAAACGAACATTTATATAATGGAATATTTATAATAGAATCATAATGAAAAGTTAATTTAGATTGAGCTGAACCACGGGTGCAGGACCGCACAAAAAACTGTACCTATTCAAATGAAACGGAATCGTGTTAAAATTGGAAAATTTCGCTACAACAACTCCTATTTATTTATTTAAAATGATTCGTTGAGTTGAACTATCATCAAGGTGTAATCAAATTAAATTTCCAGGCTTTTTGATGTGTTTTCGGTGCGTTTTTTTTCCTTCTCTGTCTACGCCCGCCATTCTCCCTCGTTTGTTGTATATCTCTATAAATTGAACAATTTCATCTCGCGTGCGAAATGTAATATGCGGCGCAGTAAAAATGAATGGGAGGAATCATTGCAAAATCACATTTTCTGTGTAATTCATGAGTTATGATAAATAATATGCAGCACAATGCACAGTTATTGGCGAGATAAATACGCTGGTGAAATCCTTTTTGTGCATGTGTTTCTCTCTCTCTCTCTCTCTCTCTCTCTCTCTCTCATTCTCTTTCTCAATAGATTATTTAATACAATGACCCCTGTCAGCTGTGTGTGTTCTTATTAAAAAAAAAAGAGATAAACCAAATCAGCGCATCATTGAAATTGAAAGAAAACGTTGAGTCTAGACAACTGTCAGTTAGCGAATATGGGTGGGTAAACAACATTGTCTGGTTCAGTTTGATACTTTTTCCCTATATATTCTCTTCTTCTTTTCTGCGCCAATATACCAGGCCATAGAGTTACGACGTAGGCGTATGATAAACATATATTCGAGCAAAGTAAGAAAAAAAACCATTTTGCTCGGTGAAAATTTGACTTGGATCAAACGAGATATAAGAAGATGAAAAGCAGAAAAGAATAAGAAGAAGATGGGAAAAAAAGTGAGATGTGAATAAAACGTATTTACCTTTTTTGCATTTCTTTTGAATCGTTCTTGTTGGTATACAACCTTCGTCACCCTTTTTCAGCGATAAGGTTCGTGTTCTGACATTGGTTTCTGCATTACATTCAGTCCATTGGCTTTTTTCATATCGACAGGATGCTAAACACGTATGGAAAGTTAAACGAAACGAGAAAGAAGAAAAAATTGTGTGATGAGTTTTAAAATGTGGGTAAGAAACGGAAAAAAAACATGCAAAAGAAATGAGTTTGCAAAAGATGCTGTTGGCCCTCCCTCCGATCCGATATATTTTGCTCCGTTCGTCACGAAACGACGATGCCATCACCACGCGCGTAATTGAATGTTTAAATATAGATATGCATATTCATGTTTTCATTTTTTTTTCTCTTTCTCTCGCTCGACTAAAACTCCTTCTTCAGTTTCTTTTGCTCTCTATGTTACCGAGGGATTAGAGTCTGTCAGATTAGCGTTTGTTTGTTCTATATAGATGTATTTTAGTTTCATTCAAACATTAATTTGTCAGGCGTTTAATGAAAATAGATCCTGGATCATGGCATTCTGACTCTTTGCATTAAAACACATTATCGCCGGTCGCGCGCATCGAGTAAAGGATAACAAAAAACACAATTATTCAACACAAACTTCAAACTTAACAGATAAAATACCGAAGTGAAAATAGAACGAATGGGGAAAACAGAAAACGAAAAGAAGAGAAACGAAATACGAAGCATAACTGAATCTACAATGAAATAATATGCAGAATAGAAATCATTAAGTAAAAAACTTTTTCGAATGAACTGAACGGCCACCGGGGCACGCGGTGCTGTTGAGTTAGTAAACGAAAAACAGATCGCCATTTCGAATGAACGAACAAACATAGACGGGGGAAAACAAAACGAACGAAAGAACGGAAGAAAGGAAGGCAAAATAACAACAGCAGCAACAACGAAAACAAAAACAAAAACAAAAATATAATGTACATGGAAATGAAAATGAAAATTAAAATTAAAAATAAAACTTACGAGCTTTTTTCTCGACTTTCTCATCGGACTTTTTTCTATTATTAACTCTTTTGTTTTTCTCCTTCTTACCAGAGCCAGATCCATTGTTGGCGCCATTGTTATTTTTCGCACCACGTACGATGCGGATTAATACATCATGATCATCCTCTTGCCAAGTCTCTTCGGCTACGAGTTGAGCTTTAAGCGGTAAGGCACGCGGTTGTTCTTCGACCTCCGTTGTTGTCGAACCGTGCGTGGTTTGGGGAAGGAATGACATTACAGTCATGACCAAAATCGATATTAACAGGAAGTTCTTCATGTTTGTTGGTTTTTGTTCGTTTGATTCTGAAATGCCATAAGAATGAAAAATACGGAATCAAAATAAATTTCTCACATTTCGGCTGCTTCCTTTTACTTTCATGATTATTATTATTGTTATTGTTATTATATATATAATATGTATCTGTGCTATCTTCCGTTTTCTATAGACTATTTCATTTTATTTCATTTTTTGGCAATTGGAGCCGCCAGTTGAAGCGGAACCAAATGTGAGACGAGACACAAGAAAACTCAAAGAATTTTCATGAACAATCTCTCATTCCATCTGGTTCGGCTTTCCTTTGTCTGCCCATTTTGTCCAAAATGTTTGTATTGAGTAAATACTATGCAAATTGGAAATCAATAATGATTTCAAGGAATAAATTTCATTCGATTCACATTGACTAAGTGCTAAAAGTTCCATTTAATTGCTTGAGCATTGAGTTATTTGCCAGCCAACTCTTGCTAAGTTTTGCAATTTGTTTCGGCTGAACGATGTAAGAGTATTCGTATTCGGTGCGACGGAGTGGTGAGGGTGGATATTTTTATGCTATCCTTGGATACTTTGACTGACTGACTGACTGACTGGCTGACTGGGGCGCGCTTGCATAGAAACTGGGACTTGTACTTGGTGCACTATGTAGAGACATGGAGCCTCATGACTTTTGAATGTTTTCCATTTATCGTTTTTGCCAAATATTATTTAAATTGTAGTTTGAGTTGCAATTTAGGGACAAATGCAATAAACATTTCAAACAAAGCGAAAAGTTCTGGAATTTGTATTCGACACGAAAATTGGCTAACGCAAACTTTCTTCGTTTGCATCGAGACGCAAATTTTTCGGAAAACTATACCGAACAGAGGACATAGCACGGGTGAGAACAAGTGAGCAAGCGAAAGAGAGAGAGAGAGAGCGCAAGTGAATGGAAACAGAGAAAAGTCGTCATCATTTGACTTTAGTAAAAGTATTTCCATAGGTTACATCCATACTTTTCTTGTTCCGACGTTGTTTCGTTTTCGTTTTCGTTTCGTGTTCTGTTCCAGCTGCAATGCGATAGAGAAGGAATTCGGTTTCCGCCTTTTATTTGTTTTAAAAGTGAGTTGCTATAGCATGAGATGTTTGAACAACTTGCCAGAGCAAACGAGACGAAAAAGGGGGAAAAAAAGAAGAAGGATGAACAGGCAAAAAGCTGTACACACACACACACACACACACACACACACACACACACACACACCAGAACCGTGTGACCATTAAGAGAGTGCGGGAGAAAATTGCGCGAAACTCATAGACAGGTGTGTGAAAAGACACGAGATCCATTAGGGTAAAGTCATATCAATCACGAATAAATGAAGGATTATGAAACATTTGAGCGGCTCAAACGAAACATTGACATTCGCATTCGCACAAAAACCCACACACACACATACACATATTTCTTCGTTCGCTTATGGCTTGCTCAAAACGAGGTTAAATTAACTCGACATTTATCACTGCAGGTATTAGTTCTGAATTCGAAAGGGCATTTGGTAAGTTCAAATCTTTGTTAGTCCAGTTATTTCCAAGTAAATAGTAAACTTAATCTGAACTGTTGTGAAAGAAATCTCTTTCCAAAGTGGTGGTGTGTCGATGGCGGCAGTGTCGACCGAAACTGTTCGCCCTACTCGGTGTGTGTATGTGTGTTGCTAATGTTTTCGGTATTCACGGGGGAATGGGACAAACATTATTTTCCACTTGTTTGTTGTTGCATTCGCCTGGCTATGGTGGTCATAGGGTTTCTCGATGTTTGTTTTCGATTCAGCTGTAGTTTGCTTTCATTCTGCTTCATTTCTTTTTCTCTTTCTCTTTTGTCGTGTGAATTTTAATGAAAAAAATGATAAATCGTTCAAAGTTCCAAACGCCATTAATCAGGATTGTTTCCGGTTGTTGTTTTGTTGGTCGGCTACAGATGATGGTGTTGATCATGTTCAAGTCTAGAGTTACACATTCACAACAAAAGCACTGCTACCGACCGCATCACTTTCATCAATCTATCTGTACCTCAGTTGGTCCGATTCCCCGTCACCGTCACCGTCGCAGCCGCTCTTGTTACCGTGTTCGGTTAACGGGCCATTCCAATGACCAAAACGGCAAAACATGTATCATACAGCACACACACACACACACACACCATTTGTGTGTGCGCGCTCGCCAATATCCAACTAGTCACATTAATTGTGTTGTCGCTTGATACTAGTTGTGTAATGCTTCATAAATGGTTGTTTACTTGTTCGTGAATGTACACTAGGCATTGTGTAATTGTTTGTATTTTCACAGGATAAATGGGATATATAATTTACGTTCAAACGCAAACCGAAAAACAAGACTGGACGAGAAAAAAAAAGAATTGCGACAAAACACCAAATCCTAGGGGCTAGGAACTGGGAGAACAAACGAGAGAGATAAAAAAAAGCATGATGCTAACATTTGTTCACGCTTTATTGTCATATATATACAATGACTATTGGCCGATACCACTTAATAGTTCTTTTTTTTTCTCTCCATTTGACTGGAGGGAAGGAGGTGTTTATATTTGCATTGCATTTACGTGTATTTGGCAAATCAAATATGGACAATAACGAGCCATAAACGACCACCACAACAAATGGAATTGAGTATTTTAAACCCCTAGCATCGAAACACAACATCAAAATAAACGAAATGGTATAAAACTGAATAAAATCATTAATGCAGTACTGGCTGCACGGGTGTATGTGTATGTTTGTGCATATATGCACTTGTTTATGTTTATGTATATAGATGGTATGTCTGTATTTTATCATATTTTTCCGGTATAACGAAAAACTATCAACGATGATTTATACAGTTGCATGATATCGATATGTTTCCCGAACTCATGCCACTTCCTACGAACAGTTAGTAGTATTTCGTCGATCGCGCACAGAGACCTACAGCGAAGAAATTGCTCTCTTTCCTTTCTCTCTCTCTTCTATCTCTGCCTCTCTGGTTTTTTATCTTCCCGCACCGAACAATGTGATGCTCCTCTTGCCAGCACCACCGCCACGACCACCACCACCACCACCGCCGCCGTCGTACTGACGAATACGATCTATGCAACTACGTCATAGCAATGAAACAAATTGCCGTTTTACGGTACAGTTTTAGTAAACTATTTCTGATTTCATTTGCAGCAGTTGTTTTTACGTTCGCAATTTGCCAAACGAGTTCTTCACAACCAAATTCCTATCGCATTGCTTTTGTGTATATCGTATATGAACAATTCGAACATTGTTCGCTCGTGTATTTTATTGAATGCGGTAATTAATGTGGCCAAACAGTTGCATTAACTCCCATAAAACCGACAAAAACTAATTATTTTTACCACGAGAAAAAAAAGGTTTCGCCAAATGATCATAGTACATACACTGCTGTACTTTGGCCAGGCTGCCTTTTTTATGGTTCTCGCTTCTTTTTTTGGCTGCCACTGATCGCCATACGACACTGCTGGCCAGCAAACCAGCCATCGAATATGGGGGACTGCATCATTGCCAATTGAATAGGCGAGAAAAAAAGCGAGTGGAAGCCATGAATAGATGACTTCGGCGACCGGAGAATTGATGTCGCATTTGCCGGTCGAAAAACGAGCCATTACCCAACTGACTCACTCTCAATGACTCAGTTATTGGCTCAATAACAATGGCTGATGTACTTGGTTTTGGTCGTCAACTAACGCACTCTACATAAGTTATGAGCTGTGGTGGCCATTTGCAGTGTTGGTGATATTGCTGCTGCCGCTACTTTTTTTACAGCTCCATTTCATTTCGTTTACTTCTTCATTCTCAATTTATTTTTGCATTAAAATGCCGATTCCAATGACTTCAATACACAGTCTCGTACAAGCAAATAATTGAATCGTTCATATAAAAACCATTTCAGAATTCAGAAATATTTTAAAATTAATACTTTATTTAAATTAATAGGTTTTCGGCTGTTATTTCGAGCGAAAGAGAGAGCACTGGGGCTAACATGTTCGAGAGAGAGAGAGAGAGGGAGAAAGAGAGAGAAAGAAAAAAACAGGCCGCTAACCATCAAAGTAAAAAGTGTTAGTTTTAACAACAGCAACCGGGAAAAAACAACAAAACCAGTGGAATCAAATAAATTGCCAAAATCGTTGGCATCGCTGGAAAAAGTGAAAAAGATGAAAGCTTTTCAGCGTGTATGTTGCAACTGGTTTTCCATTGATTAAAAAATCGCTTGATTTTTTGAAGTGTTTCGTTATTTAAATTCTTGACATTGCAATCCGATTTTCACATTTTATTAAAATGTTTTTCGTCTCGTTGGCTGCTGTTAGCATTGGGGGTTAGCTCAGTCTGGAATGTGATGTTGCACATACAAGCGAACACACCGACAAGCGAAAAAAAAGAGAAGCTTTCAACAGCCAACAGAAATCGAAAAAAAAGTAATACAAAAAACGATAATAAACAGCCAATTTTTTTTTCTCGGGTGGCAACCAAAACGAAATGGCCAGCAAAACGTTTCGGCACTGCCAAGCATTTCGGCAAAAGTTTAATTGAATTTCATATCTTTTGGCAGCGAAAGTTGCTTTTCCAATTATTCGTCGTTCGTCGTGTACATCGTCGCCCCACCCTCCCGCGAAAAAATGATTGCGTGGTAGATGAACAAAAGTAACCGAAAATTGAAACAAGATAGAAGAACTTTGTAGCGTTGTGCATAGACAAATAACTCTGTCGATTTTATGAGATGCTTGATGACAAAAATCAAAAGTTAAGTAATTAAAGTTTCGTTGTATGGAGCCCACGGGAGAAACGTGAATATGCACACCGCTTTTCGGTGAACAATTTGTTGTTGCTATTGCTGTTGTGGTCTTTTTTTTCTTGTCGCCGCCATCGACAAAGACAAATACGAACCGAGTGAGCGAGTGAAGTGAATGAGTGAGCGAGTGAAGTGAAAACCTCGTGCACACAATTCTAAGAATATATGATCCATTTGTAGACAGAAGCGTTTG